ATCACTCTATTTAAAAGTAACAGAATAATTGAACCAAAAGCACAATATCCGTAAAAAGAATTGATGGAACACTATGTATTGATTCAATCAATATTTAAAAATTACTATAAACTATAAAAAACAATTATTCTTTTCATGTAAATTTGAATAATTTCATACTATTAACGTTAAGTAACATAAACCAACAGTCTCAGAGACGTAAACTAATTGTCGCATTTACACAAATCAAAAGTCGCCTGTGTCAAAATTTAACAGAAACCAATTGTAGCACCTATAAAATGAATTTGCTTGTTATTGGCAAATCCCATGAAAATAATTCATCTAAATCACATTGTTTGTGTCTATGGCATAGAAAAACGTTGGATTAAAGTTAAATTTATCAAATTAACTGTCCAATTAGTCCTGTAGTACTTTATGTACTTTTCGAATGCGAGTACGTGAAAAACACGATGCAAACAGTCATTTACAAGTAATATTTCGATATTGAGCACTTTTCGGGTATAAAAGCAATCCAATCGCTTAATTATTTTATTAATTTGCTTTCTAGAAAGTGATTTTTTATTGTATTTTATCAAAAAATATGTATTAAACTAGATAATTCACAGGTACCAATAGTAGCTGGTGTCCGAAACCAAGATTTTCTCGATTTGCACTTTACCAACAGTGAGAACAATCTCTCAGCGATCACAAAGGCACATACATATATCTTAAATCACGTAAAATCATATGAAAGGAAAATATGGCTATACAAAAATGCAGATTTTGAAACACTAAACACACTTATATGCAATACAGATTGGAATACACGTATTAATGACGCCATAGATATAGACCAGGCGGAGAGTAATTTCTCAAGTTTTTTAAACCATTGTTACAACGCACTTTGAAAAATTACGCACTTTGAAAATTTTTTTCAAAGTGCGTTAAATTTGGGACCAAATCAACGCACTTTGAAAAAATAAAATTTATTTTGAAAGTGCGTTAATGTGTGCCATATTAACGCACTTTGAAAAAATGTTTATGGCATGGTCAATATATTTGCAAAACTTAGGTATGATAATTTGAATCTTTTCGGTGAAAAGGTCATTTCAGAATGTGATGGTGAGCTATTTTGATTTTTCCATACTTTCTCTCTTAAATGTTTTACTGTTCTTTCAAGAGAAAAAGAATTTTCAAAGAATGGAAATGCATGTAAACTGGAAAAAAATATGTTTTACTGAACTTATATTTTTCCAGTTTGCATGCTTTTTATGTAAACTAAAATTTACTGAAAGTATTCAACGTCATACCAGTTACGCGAAAACATTTAATATTTATACATGTATTTGGGTGTAGCATAGGCATTGGTACCGGGAGGGGGTTTAGGCACACACATGTTTTGCAAAGAGAAACTTTATATGAGCATTCAAAATTGTGGCTTACCTTGGGGGGGGGGGGGGGGGTCCAATTTCAATTTGCTACCGACGGCTATGTACAATGTATAAGAAAAAAAGAGTTGGGCCGAGAGACCTTCTACTTGTCTTCTCCTTGTTCCTAATTAAAGATTTCGAAAGATATAAATATTACAAATTTATTCTCTCAATTACTAAAATTTATAAATATTTTTTTCAAAGTGCGTTAAATGTCCCCATGTTAAAAAATGTTTATGACACTCTTAACGCACATTGAAAAATTTTTTCAAAGTGCGTTGAGTGTGTCCAAAATTTAACGCACTTTGTAAAAATTTTTCAAAGTGCGTTGATTTTGTTCCAAATATAACGCACTTTGAAAAAAATTTTCATATTGCCTATTTTTTTCAAAGTGCGTTGCCACAAACCATGTTAAAAATTGCATTCCCGAAAAAACAGTAACTATTAGGCCTAAAGTTAAGATAAACCCTGGTTCGATTCCGCATTGCGAAAAACGGTTCGACAGAGAAATTGTGCAAGAGATAAAGCCCACAAAACAAAAAAAGAATCAGATAAGGATAAGTTTAAAAAACTACGTAACAAGACAGTCACAGAATCATTGCATCCCTTAGTGTAGATTAAATATATATAAATCATCATTTGCACCAATGGCAATAAGGGAGTGGAACTCTTTGTCTCTTGAAACAAGACAATCTACTACTATAGGTTCCTTCAAAAATTGTGTAAACTCTCAGAGAACACCTACCCCGTCCTTTTTTACTTTTGGTGATCGTTACTGGAGTGTAATTCATACTAGATTATATGGTGTCCGGATAAGGCCATTTGCGTTAACGCGACATCGCGTTCAGATAAACGCGCCGTCGTGCTAACACACAACACGCCGTCATGCTGACGCAACTTTGCACAACGCGCCTTCGCGCTAACACACAACACGCCGTCGTGCTAACGCAACTTTGCACAACGCGCCGTCGCGCTAACGCAACTTTACACAACGCGCCTTCGCACTAACACACAACACGCCGTCGCGCTAACACACAACGTGTTGTGCAAAGTTGTGTTAGCGCACACAACGTGTTGTGCAAAGTTGTGTTAGCGCGACGGCGCGTTGTGCGTAAGCGTAACGGCGCGTTGTGTGTTAGCGGGACGGCGCGTTGTGCAAAGTTGTGTTAGTGCGGCAGCAGTGTTATGCAAAGTTGTGTTAGCACGACGGCGTGTTGTGCAAAGTTATGTTAGTGCGACGGCGTGTTGTGCAAATTGCGTTGGCGCGACGGCGTGTTGTGTGTTAGTGCATCGGCATGTTGTGTGTTAGCGCGATGTCTCATTTATCTGAATGCGATGTCGCGCTAACGCAAATGGCCCTATCCGGACACCATAAGATTAAGACACAATTATGTTCTAAATAAAGACTTATTTAGGTGTAATATTATTGACAGTCCATTATGCACTTGTGGAAAAGTAGAAGACGCATATCATTTCTTTTCATTTCATTACTGCCCCAAGAAAGGACCTGTTCAATGCTATTTCTAGAATGATTAACTTACGTATTAGAGACACTCATGTTGTTATGGGGAGATAATTCGATCAGTATTTCAGAAAATGAAAGTTTATTTTTAAATGTGCAATTGTTTATCTCGAGATCTGGTCGTTTTTGAATGTATTTTGATTCGTTTGTACATATTACATCAATTTAAATTCTGTTCATGCATTACCTATGTTAAATAATCTTATAAATATAAATAATCTTATTTGGTTCCAGTGTAAATTAATTTTTGAACAATACTTTGGAGTATTGTATATGTAGTATAGGAGAGGACGTTGCAAGTATTAAGTACTTGTGTCCAATCCTTTTGTTGTAACATCTTAACAATAAAATATGTTCAAACCAACCCATTGAATGTATGTCTTATGGCATTCAAACATGCCTTTTTCTTTGTAAGGCAGAATGACTTGATTCCAAGACATTTCATTCTTAAACAAGTAATTACTGAAATGTTCACATTTTGGGGGCACTTTTTCATATACAGGATCTTATAAAATGACATCCCAAAATGACAAGGGTATCCCGGTAGGGTGCATTGCTTACACAAAACTCTCAAAATGCTTGTTTATTTTTCCCGTTCATTTCCTAATTAAAATTGACAACGAGCACACTACATGTAACATCTAACAACATCCCACAGAGGGTCATGTCAGAGGTCAAATTGGGAACAATTCTAGACATATTCACTTCAACAAATTTTGCATGCGATTTGATTCGTTGATAGAATTTGACCTCTGACATGACCCTCTATGGGATGTTTGTTAGATGTTAGTGTAGCAAGTAATAATGCAAGCGGATCTAATTCTAAATTAAATTGAGGAACCCCAAACCCAGTTCTACTTTTTTTATATACCTTAATTGGTATTTCAATTCTTTGGGACAACTCTGTCTTACATGATGATATCATGTGACAGTGATCTTAAAAAAGAAATTAAGCTCTTCAGTCACTAAATTTATTTCAACATTGAAGCAAAAACTTGCTCGCACCTAACATTTTCACCAATTCCTCTTGTGATCAATATGGAATGCCAAATTAACATATATTCAAATATTTGTACCTATCTTCAATTAATTGCACCTATCTTCAAATAATTGTACCTATCTTCAAATGAATTGAAGATAGGTACAATTGAATTAAAATTAAAATAAAGATAGGTACAATGTTGAAGATAGGTATAAATAATTATACCTATCTCTAAATAATTATACCTAGGTACAAATGAATTATACATCTTTATTGAATTACACTATCTTCAATTCAATTAAAGATAACAACATCTATCTCTAATTCATTTGAAGATAGGTATAATTGTAAAGATAGGTATAATTGATTTGAAGATAAGTTCAATTAAGACATATCCACAAAGGATTTGAAGAGGTACAATTCAATTATACCTAGGTTCAACAAATTTTTGCATGCGACAATATTGAGTATGGAGGGAAATGCAAAGAATCTACAGAGCGACGACAACAAGGATGAAAGGAGAAATAAAGATTAATTTAAAATCTGCAAAAAGCATCATATACTTATAAAAATACGCATGTATATCATGTTGGAATATCTTGTATTGCAGCCAGATGAAGATTCCGAAAAACTTTCGCGCCAGCTGTGACGTATCAGAAATGACGTATGATAAAAGGAGTAGTTGTTATTTAAATTAAAGATAGGTTCAATTCAATTGTACCTATCTTTAAACAATTATACCCAGAGGCGTAGTTTTTTTATATACAGAAATTCTTTAATTGGTATTTCAATTATTTGGGACAACTCTTTTTTTTCAAAGGCAAGTTACTTTCAATACCAATATTAATATTATTTCAAAATAGCTGTGATTTTGTTTTTCATTAAAAAGAAATTAAGCTCTTCTGTGACTAAATTTATCTTCAACATTGAACAAAAATCTTCAAATCAATTGTACCATCTTCAAATGAATTAAAGACATTTTCATCTCTAATTCATTTGAAGATAGGTATAATTGTAAAGAGGTACAATTCATTTGAAGATGTACAATTATTTTATACAAATATTTCAATATATGTTAATTTGGCGTTCCATAGATCAATAATGTTTATATACATGATACAGAAATTTTAGAATCTTAAATCAATTTATTGATGATTCCTTTTTATGCATTAATGTTCCACTGTCACTTTTCTTTTTTAGGGTTGTACTGACGCCAAAGAAAAGAGAAGCGTTCCTTGTATTGGTGAAGCACTTTAGGTTCGGATGTCACTAACAGATTTTCCTGGTTACCTGTTATTGCTTGTCTTGTCCAATTAAAAGAACCATTTAGAAGTTTTTTGTTGTCTATGATCACAAACTTATGATGCATAAAAAAGGAAGAATCATCAGTCCTGACAGCTATGCCTAAAAAAATGGTGAAAATTAAGTACAATTATTGTAAATTGATATACATGTATGCATAAAATAATATATGTTTTATAAAATATTTTATATGCCTCTGGTTAGAGACACCATATTATCAAACTTATTATAATGGAATACATGCCTTGACTGCGGAGTTTCCAGATTTGTGAGCCTGGGATGTCTACCTGTTCGCAATCCGTGATAACCCTCACACAAACTCCCCTCCCAGCTGCCTGGATCAACAGATCGGCCAAGTCAGTGCATGTTATAACAAATACACAGACATCCAAACTATACACTGCTTCGTGTAGATACTTGAAAAGCTTACTGAGTGAATTTTCTTCATGACTGTAAGAGCAACTTTCACTTTCACATTCCGAGGTGAAATGTTTAATGCATGCAACCTTTTTATCTGGAAAGAACAGCACCTCAGTACTTTTACCCTCTTCTCTTATACTTCTCATAAAACGATACGTATAAAATTGGTAAACTATCTCGGATATTGCACAAATGCCAGCGAATATTCCAAAAGTTCGCCACATTGTGTGAATGCATTGATGCTGGTTAATTGGCGCCAAGGTAAAATTCGCCCTAGTTTTACCAAAGTCCCCACTATAAACTGAAAGTGAAAGTAAAAGTTGCACGTCCACGAAGCTTGTAAACAGCTTGGTTATGTTGATTATGTAGATTATTTATAAGAACATGATTTATTAATTCTTTACGGTAAAGTATCGAGGAGTTGAAAAACAAAATGAACACGTCAGATGTAACTCTTAATTTTGGAGAAGAAGATGAAATTGACAGACAGAAAAAACTCAAGTTAGATTAAGTTGTATTATTCCTCATTGCTATTTGAGTTTTTATATGTAAAAGTCATTAAACTTTTTCGAGTTGTATTACTCCTTATTGTCGCTTTTTTTTTGGGGGGGGGGGGGTTGATTGAATCTAAACAAAATGGATGGAGTCATGAATAATCCATGTTAAAAAAAAAATGCACTGTACATGAAGATTTATGTGTACTAAGAGTTTGGGCTGTGTTTGGAAACTTTTTTCCAAAAGCAGAATGATTACTTTGTTTATTACAGTGTAAATTTTTTTTAGCTTAATTTTCATCACTTAGTCTTATCATTAAAATAGCTAGATTAATGAAATACCTAAGATTCTTGAATATATATAATACATCTATAATATCTATCATTAATCTTAAAAAAAAAAAAAATTGAGAGAAATTTTATAGAATTGATTGATTACATCATGTACAAATTTTTTCAGACACCCTGTTGCAGTATTTTGCCACGTGGTGTTCCGTGTTATTGCAGTCCTAATGTTTATCTTATGTGGATGGTTTAGTAAAAGTTTCATCACAAACTTTATTCTGATGGTCATTCTGTTGTCAATGGACTTCTGGACTGTTAAAAATATTTCAGGTATTAGTCCTAAACAAAGTGAAATATCCTAACATACTTGACATTATAATTTCATATTTTTTTATTCTAGCTACTGCTTTACATTTTACTTGTCAAATAACTGATTCTGAAGTAATTCAGTCTTTTTATGCCTGCATGTCTGTGTTTTGGAAATGCTACTCATTTTTCTTTCTGCATCTACATCTGATATGGATAAAAAATGTATTTCTTAAAACCTTGAGTATTCCTAACCCTGATATATATATAAAGTTAGATTTAATTAAAACCTTGCTTGCGCATGTGGTAAACATAAAATTTTACATATGATAGATATCAACTTGTCGGTAAATATAAGGCTATATAAATGTGATATACTTTTTAGTCACCATCCATACAAGTACACATTCAGTCTACTCTGAGACCTTTAATTCATGTAGTCCATTAATTACATACTGCACATACTGATTTTCTATAGAATTCACAAAATTGAAACCGATTTTTAATGCAATCTGTACATTGAGTAGCAGTGTAATATATCATATCAGTACTACATTTAAAAACGTACATGAACTATGTCATAACTTATTAGCTCACCTGAGCTTTTCTGATCAAAATTTGTCCGTTGTCTGTCGTCGTTGTTGTCGTTGTCGTTGTTGTCGTAAACTTTTCACATTTTCATCTTCTTCTCAAGAACCACTGGGCCAATTTCAACCAAACTTGGCAAAAAAGTATCCTTGGGTGAAGGGGATTCAAGTTTGTTCAAATGAAGGGCCACGCCCTTTTCCAAGGGGAGATAATCATGAATTTGTTAAAAATTAATGGCATTTTTAAAAAATCTTCTTCTCCAGAACCGCTGGGCCAGGAAAGGTGAAACTCATGTGGAAGCATCCTTAGGTAGTGTAGATTCAAGTTTGTTCAAATCATGACCCCCGGGGCAAGGGTGGGGCCAAAATGGCCGACCCAAGTTTTACATAGGAATATATAGGAAAAATCTTTAAAAATCTTCTTCTCCAGAACCACTGTGCCAGGAAAGATGAAATTCATGTGGAATCATCCTCAGGTAGTGTAGATTCAAATTTGTTCAAATCATGACCCCCGGGGCAAGGGTGGGGCCAAAATGGCCGACCCTAGTTTTACATAGGAATATATAAGAAAAAAATCTTTAAAAATCTTCTTCTCCAGAACCGCTGGGCCAGGAAAGATGAAACTCATGTGGAATCATCCTCAGGTAGTATAGATTCAAGTTTGTTCAAATCATGACCCCCGGGGCAAGGGTGGGGCCAAAATGGCCACCCTAGTTTTTAGGAATATATAGGAAAAATCTTTAAAAATCTTCTTCTCCAGAACCACTGGGCCAGGAAAGATGAAACTCATGTGGAATCATCCTCAGGTAGTGTAGATTCAAGTTTGTTCAAATCATGACCCCCGGGGCAAAGGTGGGGCCAAAATGGCCGACCAAATTTTTACATAGGAATATATAGGAAAAATCTTTAAAAATCTTCTTCTCAAGAACCACTGGGCCAAGAAAGATGAAACTCATGTGGAATCATCCTCAGGTAGTGAAGATTCAAAAAATGACCCCCGGGGCAAGGGTGGGGCCAAAATGACCAACCCAAGTTTTGCATAGGAATATATAGGAAAAATCTTTAAAAATCTTCTTCTCCAGAACCACTGGGCCAGGAAAGATGAAACTCATGTGGAATCATCCTCAGGTAGTGTAGATTCACGTTTATTCAAATCATGACCCCCGGGGCAAGGGTGGGGCCAAAATGACCCAAGTTTTACATAGGAATATATAGGAAAAATCTTTAAAAATCTTCTTCTGCAGAACCACTGGGCCAGGAAAGATAAAACTCATGTGGAATCATCCTCAGGTAGTGTAGATTCAAGTTTGTTCAAATCATGACCCCCCGGGCCAGGGTGGGGCCAAAAATGGCAGACCCAAGTTTTACATAGGAATATATAGGAAATATCTTTAAATATCCTTCTCAAGAACCACTAGACCAGGAAAGATGAAGGTAGTGTAGATTCAAGTTTGTTCCAATCATGACCCAGGGTGGGGCCAAAATGGCCGACCCAAGTTTTACATAGGGATATATAGGGAAATCTTTTAAAATCTTCTTTTCAAGTACTTCAAAGCTATGATTAGTGATATTTATATGGAATCATCCTCAGGTAGTGTAGATTCTAGTTTGTTCAAATGATGAATGTTCAAGCCCGATGTGCTCAGGTGAGCGCTGTGGCCCCTGGGCCTCTTGTTTTTGAATAATTAGCTCACCTGAGCTGAAAGCTCAAGTGAGCTTTTCTGATCACATTTTGTCAGGCCTCCATCTGTCTGTCTGTAAACTTTTCACATTTTCATCTTCTTCTCAAGAACTACTGGGCCAATTTCAACCAAACTTGCCATAAAGTATCCTTAGGTAAAGGGGATTCAATTTTTTTCAAATGAAGGGCCACACCCTTTTCTAAGGGGAGATAATTATGAATAAGTGAAAAATTAATGGCATTTTTAGCTCACCTGAGCTGAAAGCTCAAGTGAGCTTTTCTGATCACCCGGTGTCCGTCGTCCGTCTGTCCGTCTGTCCGTCCGTCTGTCCGTCCGTAAACTTTTCACATTTTCGACTTCTTCTCAAGAACCACTGATCGAGCCAATTTTTAACAAACTTGGTACAAAGCATCCTTGGGTAAAGGGGTATATAAATTGTTAAAATGAAGGGCCAAGTCCCCTCCAAAGGGGAGATAATCAAGAAAAGACAAAAATTGGGTGGGGTCTTGAAAAAATCTTCTTCTCAAGAACCACTGGGCCAGAAAAGCTGAAACTTATATGGAAGCATCCTGGGGTAGTGTAGATTCTAAATTTTTCAAATCATGGCCCCCGGGGGTTGGGCGGGGCCACAATAGGGAATCAAAGTTTTACATTGAAATATATAGGAAAAAACTTTAAAAATCTTCTTCTCAAGAACCACTGGGCCAGAAAAGCTGAAACTTATATGGAAGCATCCTGGGGTAGTGTAGATTCTAAATTGTTCAAATCATGGCCCCCGGGGGTTGGGCGGGGCCACAATAGGGAATCAAAGTTTTACATTGAAATATATAGGAAAAAACTTTAAAAATCTTCTTCTCAAGAACCAGTGGGCCAGAAAAAGCTGAAACTTATGTGCAAGCATCCTGGGACAGTGTAGATTCTAAATTGTTCAAATCATGACCCCGGGGGGCTGGGCGGGGCAACAATAGGGAATCAAAGTTTTACAAAGAAATATATAGGAAAAATTTTAAAAATACCATTTCAGAAAAGCTGAAACTTATGTGGAAGCATCCTGGGTCATATATAAATTATACAAATTGTGACCCCCAGGGGTTGGGTGGGGCCACAATAAGGAATCAAAGTTTTACATAGAAATATATAGGAAAATTCTTTAAAAATCTTCTTCTCAAGAACCAGTGGGCCAGAAAAGCTGAAACTTGTGTGGAAGCATCCTGGGGTAGAGTAGATTCTAAATTGTTTAACTCGTGACCCCCGGGGGTTGGGTGGGGCTATAGATAGCCTGCCACTTGTACTTATTTTTTTTTTTTTGGGGGGGGGCACAATAAGGAATCAAAGTTTTACATAGAAATATATAGGAAAATTCTATAAAAATCTTCTTCTCAAGAACCAGTGGGCCAAAAAAGCTGAAACTTATGTGAAAGCATCCTGGGGTAGTGCATCTTCGCTAGCCAAGGGTTTCTGATACGCTCCTCTCCTCATAAACCCTTGGCCTACGGTGTTCATAGAAATTGGGATTTTTTTCCAGAGTTCTGATTGGATTTCAGTATACCCAGGTCGACCAATCAGCAATTGTTTTTTGTAAATGACGATATATGCGTTCGGGATACATCTTCTCTCTTTAATCTTGGAAATGAAAAACGCAAGTAAACAACGATCCGTAAGATAACATTCAATTCTATGAATAGCCATGGTGTCATCCAATATCTTCTAAATATGTGATTAAGAATCTATATTGAAGCTTCAGATTTGTTCTATAAATAATGAATAAACATAACTCAATTATTGCTTCTTAATTATTCTTGAAAAAACTTTGATTTAATTTTTTTTTAACACGTACCTTTATTTCTGGCGATGACGCAATCTGTGCGTACCTGATAGATTCAAGATCACGTGACGGAAAACAATCCCGTCTTTTGACTTCACCGTATGCCAAGGGTTTATGAGGAGAGTAGCGTATCAGAAACCCTTGGCTAGCGAAGATGAGAGGAGCGTATCAGAAACCCTTGGCTAGCGAAGATGGGGGTAGTTTAAATTCTAAATTGTTCAATTTTTGACGCCCGGGGGTAGGGCCATAATTTGGAATCACAATTAATAGGTTATAACAAGGGGGAAATCTGGTAAAGAACAGCATGGTCAAAGTTACTCAGGTGAGCGATGTGGCCCATGGGCCTCTTGTTAAAAAATCTTCTCAAGAATCACTGTGCCAGGAAAGATTAAACTCATGTGGAATCATCCTCAGGTAGTGTAGATTCAAGTTTGTTCAAATCATGACCCCCGGGGGTTGGGCAGGGCCACAGTGGCCGATCAAAGTTTAACATCAAAATATATAGGAAAATTCTTTAAAAATCTTCTTCTCAAGAATGACAAAGCCATAATTCATCATATTTATATGGAAGCATCGTCAGGTAGTGTAGATTCATGTTTGTTCAAATCATGACCCCTGGGGGTAGGGCGGGGCCACAATGGACAACCAAAGTTTTACAAAGAAATATATAGGAAAATTCTTTAGAAATCATCTTCTCAAGAATGACAAATCCATGATTGGTCATGGAACTTCTTTTGGATTAAAACTTTTCAATAATAAACCAATTTCTACTTTTTCCTAGCCACAGTGCTCAGGTGAGCAATGTGGCCCATGGGCCTCTTGTTATAACTTATTATTTGCAATGTATTAACTTCAAATTATGACAATCACATATAATTTTAATGCGCATATATTTTATTTCCATTTTCTTTAATTAGATTTTTATTGTGAAATGTAATTGTAGGTAGATTATTGGTTGGATTACGCTGGTGGAACTACGTAGATGATGATGGAGTTAGTCACTGGGTGTACGAGTCCAGGTCAAAGGTCAGATTAGTAATGGAAACCATTAGCAAAATTATTTTATGGTTTCATAGTCATTAGAGAAAAAAATCATCTAAATATAAAAGATCTTTGAATATTCAGACATCACGTGCACTATCATGAAGTTACTAGTTAGAGAATAAAAGAGCATTTCTCTCACGATTAATAAAAAGTTTGTCATATATCCTAGTAACACTCTTAATACTTAAGGCAAATTTGTTTCTCAAAAACTGGTTTTAGTTTTGAACCAGTTTTGTAAACTGTGCGTTTGTTCCACAAACTGGTTTTAAACTAGTTTAAACCCAGAACCGGTTTTTCATTTGTTTTTGCTGTAACTGAAACCTGTTTGTTAAACCAACCAAACCACCTCCGATGGTGGTTTATTTTGTTTATGAAAGAGCGGGAAGTATTCCAATATGGTGGTGATGAAAAAATGATGATTATTTTAATAAAGAAAAAAGTTATAAATAATTGTTTTTTCAAGGACAAACAACTCTTTTGACTTAAATGCCACATTCTGATTTCTGATGTTTATTATACAAGGCTTCAGAGAATAGATTAATGCTGCATATTGTAAATAATGGTGTTTGTTCAATGATATTGAACTGAAAATGTTACAAAAATAAGTTTTGAATCATTTGGACAAATTTAACATGCATGGTAAATTGTAGAACATACTGTAAAGGCAGTTATATTATTGGAAATCTAACGAGTAATTAGTACCGTAATGAGTAATTATAAATACCCGTGTGTTTATCTTTTTATGTGTTAAAAATGTGAAAATTGATCATTTGATGAATCTTTGAGGTATTAAAAATATATATACTTTACTTTAATTAAGTAAGATTATCAAGGAGTATAATTACGCTGGAATTTCTTGGATTCTTTTATTAAGAAAAAGATTTTAACAAATTTATTTTCATGTGTAATTTGGGTAATATGTTTTTCTGCATCTTTTTGATGCCATCTTGTATATAAACTGGTCATTTGTTTTACCAACTTGAAGGTAAACTGATTGAAACTTATAACCAGTTTGAAAACTAGTTTTAAGGATATACGATCCTCAGCCAGGAGGGATAACTCTTTAATTTATAATTTAATTCAAAAAGTCTTAAATAAAGCGTGAAATTGAAATTTTTTCATGCAACAATTTTCATTTTATGCCTCTACGTATGATTCAATGTTCTTTGAAGTTTTAACAAACAGTATTAAAAAAAATTGACATTTGTACCTAGTAAAATTAATTCAACCTTGCATATTAAAAAAAAATCAAATTTCTTTTAATTTAGTCTTAGTTACTAATGTTTATAAGCAGGATTTGAAATTAGAAGTGATTTACGGTGTTTTCTTTTAAAGGAAACACTTCATACACTATGCATTATGAAATGATGGAAGTAAGTATGAGAAAGAAAAGTACTAAATAAGTGTAAAATTCATGCAGTTTTCTTTAAAAGAATGGATACCTATGATTTTTATTCCTAAAATGTATTTCTTGATCAATTATCAATTTAAAAAAATGCAGTAGGTAGTTCAAATCGCATTTCCTGATAAATTATTTCAGATTTACTAATTTTCCCTATATAATATGACTAAATTTAAAGATGAAGTTTAAAGAAACACCGTGGGTAAATACATTTTAATTTGAGAATTTAGAGACGTCTTTGTGAGCATTTTCATTTACTCAATGCCTGATTTTCAGAACCTGAGGATCGGATAACCTTAAACCTTAAACCAAAACCTGAACCAGTTTAGATGCAACTATATAATTCACCCATAGTGTTGACTACAACTTGCAAACTACAGTGTATTAGCAATTATCACTTGACACACTGGGCTACATTATGTAATCCATAATTCTTATCATCCATTTGTGAATTCTTATATTATCTACCACGTCGACAACATCTAATGTATACTGAAACGGGCCAGCAAAAACAAACACACAAATAGTACATATGTGAAATTGCTATGTCATTTTAAAAAATAAAGACTGAAGTCTTCTTTTAAAATTTTGAAAAAGATATTTCAATCTACCTGTAAGTGTACTTCCCCTTATATTGTTAAATTATGTCAAGTGTAATTTTGTAGAGCTACAGTTCCACAAAATCCTTCTGTTTGTTTTTCAGAGTCAAAATAAGGTCAAAGTGTCTGCAACAGAGGCAAGGATCTTCTGGTTGTCTCTTATAATCTGTCAGATCATCTGGATAGTTTTTGTATTTGGAACCATAATTGGACTTGATTTAAAGTGGTTTGTAAGTATATCTTAGGCAGGAAAGATCGATATATTTTACAGTAAAATAATTAGTCTGATTAAGTTTGAACAAGATGCTGCTCTATTAATTTGAATTAATGTAAAGAATGGGGGCATACAAGGTGAGGACAATTAAACCCTTACCCTGAAAGCATATAATTTCTCAAATTTCAAAGTTCATGGGAATTTTTTTTCTTCGAAAATTATGTTGTCATTTATGAGTTATATGTCATCTATAAGACATTTGATTCATTTATTTTACATTATAACATTGATATTTAAAGTCAAGATCTAGTAAATAAAAGATGTCTACAGATTTATCAAATTTGAGAAATAAAATGGTAATTTGTATGTTCAGGGCATCAAATTTAATATAGGTATCTGGATTACTTTTCATATATGATTTAAAATTGAATGCCATGAAATTACCATATTTTCTACATTATTCTGCTAAAGCCATAAAGTACGGGAAAAAGAAAGTTGAAATTGTTTATGACGTCATAATGAATCTAGTAGCATCAGAAAAGTGGTCTAAAGTCATTTATTAGATCTTGACCTTAACCCCCTTCCCTGCAGTCATGCATTTTAACGCATATACCGTTCCCCCACAATCACGCATTTTATGCATAATTTTACCCCACAATCAGGAATGAGTTTTGTAGTTCTATTTCTAAAATATTTCACAAATAAGAATATTTTTTCTGATTTTAGTATGTCTGAGTCATTTAATTTATTAGGCGAAACTTAGGATTAAGGTCTTTCTTTTGACACTAAATAAGCTCACCATGTAAACCACTGGTTTAGTGATGTGAAAGTATTGTGTGAGATGGGACCATTAATTCAAATTTTATCAAATTCGACAAATGAATTATTTCTTTGTGAATGTCCGATAAATTGACAGAAGGAACAGATAAGTAATACTCACACAACTGAAGAGAAAAGAGGTTTTGTTCTTAGAATAAAGCTTATTTCTTGTTCGATTTCAATTCAAATTCCTAAAAAAGCAACCTGATTGTTTCCGCCAATCAAAAAAACACACAAATAAGACCATTTCCAGCTTAGTTTGGACTTTCAGTAAGGGGTGGCATTCTCGACGCAACATAATTAGCTTCTACAATTTATACAGCTTTCCTTATACATGGGATGGAAGTTCGGGCAAATGCCAATTAGTGTATCGAATAACCAATTACATTGTTTCATCCTGCAAAGAGGTGGAGCTTAAGTTGTCTCATAGTTGTCAACAACAATTTAAATTTTCTGATGTTATTAATTTCTTAACCAATGAGAATATATTCGCCGTTTGACAGGCGGTAAACATGTAGTGCCGAGAATGCCACGCCTTACTGAAAGTCCAAACTCATAAAGCTGGAAATGGTTCTAAAAAGGAAAAAATAAAAGAACGACAATATCATGTCGAAAAGATGTAGGTTGATTTTAATTTGAATGATTTCATTACTGCAGATCACTTAATTTTCACGAGATAGTCACTGACTCTTTATTAGTGAGACAAAATTCAATTACAGGAAGATGCACGGACAAATAAGAAGTTTACATCAGATTCATACAAAAATAAATCCCACTATATGGCATGCCACAATAAAGTATGCCTGTTCAAGCACATGTAAAATGGAAAAAGGGTTGATCAAACTTTGAACATTTTAACACCATTTTTGAATATGAATGGATCAAGACTCCATTCTACATAAACATTAAAATGACAGAATCATAAATGTAAAATCTATTTTATATTTCCAAAAACCCCCTTTGCAGCAAACAACCTTTATTAATAATTTTACTAAATAGAAATTAGTATTTACATGTATGGACAAATTTAAGGAGAAAAATTTAAGACTTCTTCATTTGTTTTCTTGACAGATGGTGGCATTGGTTGGTGTTATTATGAATGGAGCTAATCTGTATGGCTATATCAGGTGTAAATATGGATCTAAGACAAAACTGTCCTCAGTCGCCACTGGGTTTCTGGGCCAGCAGATCTGGTCTAAGGTAATTTAACTGATATAAAACACTCTTGACATCTTTTTATTTTGATGGCTTTCTCACAGTGTCAGCACTTATGAGTTAATTAACCCATGGGACCCCTAACAAACTTTAAAAAAAGTCATGGGCTAACTCCAAATAAGCCTGGTGGAAAAATTACAAATCTTGTTTTTCTTATCTCTCAACCAGTCACACTAAACCCTTTATTTACAAATGACTTCAGTAAACTTGTAACATGCAATTAGGTGTCAATTGATTCCTTTCTGTTTACATTATATGTCTTCTTATGGAAGCTTCAGTTGATTGGTGCTTCTCAATCATAGAAAAAAAGAATGAAATTTGTTATGGACCCCACAGCAACAAGTTGATAAACTCAGTACTTAATTTTACAAAACACTGATAATTAATAGAATGAATGATTCTGACTTCATTTTCAGAACCATTCATTATTGATTTTCTTCTCGCTAATGTTTTTTTGTTTTACTTTTTAGATGACACGACAAACAGAGGACCAGGAGCCACAGAAGTAGTTATTTTCTGATGAAGTCCACTACTCATTTATTATGAATCTGTATGAAAATGTGATTACATGAAGTTTGTATGATTGTAAATTTTGAAATATATGTACATTGTATATTGCACTTATTTAAACAGCTGTAAATCATTCTGAAAGGGTATAAACACTATAATAATAGGGATGTATTTTGTGTGTATGTTCATGTTTAACATTCAAAAGTCTAATATTGAATATATACTGTATATGTTAATAAAATGCCTTAAGACTATGCTTTAGCTATCTCAATTCAATTCTTACAGTAGATAGTGGACCCCCCCCCCCCCCCCCAAATTTTACCAATATAATGAATACTATAGAAAACATACCTACTAAATGCTAGTGCCCCCTCAATAAAAAGTTTGATGACCTTTTTATGCTTGTCAAGGAAGTTTGGTAGTTAATAGTGTCCCCATCTGAAAATGTCTGGTTGTAAACCACCCTAACCCCCTGCAACTGAAATTGCTTCCTATAGGCCTGCTTATAAGGTGTCCATTTGTCTAATAATTAAAAATTTTCCTCCAATTTTGGCAGTTTCAATAAAATATAGCATAAACTAATCCTAATGAAAGACTCATAATTCTCTTCATCATACATTGAAGAATGGTGCTGTCATTAATGTTACATTTGATCACTCCTACGAAAGCCTTTGGTTTGATTTCAATAAACCTGCATGATCTAGTAATCCTTAGGCCATTCCAATTTTTTTTCTCTGTTTAGCATACACCCATCTTTCAAAAACCTACCTACCTATTTGCAAAGAACACACAAGCCAAAACATAAACACAGGCTTAAAAGTCATAAAAATGACACTCTTCAAATGATTTGATCTAACTAAACTGCTTATAAATTAGAAGAAATATCTATTCTTAAGCAAAAACAAGGGATTAAATCTTAAAACACACCCAATATAACTTACTGTACAGAATTATTTGGAGAAATTGACAAAATTAAAAAAAAATTAGTCAATTTCAGGACTCCTGATGTTGTGTGTTTTTTCTTATATGGGGTGTCAAAATCCAAGGTGCACCTGGACGTTAAACATAGAAAAAAACTTGGAATGGCCTTATCTGGACACCAGTCATCACCTTTTGAGAAATTTTTGAGGAACAGCATTTGTATACCTATCATAAAAAGATGTGTGTGAAACACTAATGCCTTCATATGGCAGCTTAATTATGGCAAGATTTAAAGTTTCTTAAATGCAAGTCCAACTCCGAAGTCAAAAAATTAAAATGTAATTATTCAAAAAACAGCTTGTCTTAATGAAAATACCCTTGAAATACAAAAGCCCAAGCATAAGAAACACATGCCCTAGCACTAACTGTTAAAGAGTAATGATCAAGGTTACAGTTTAGTATTTGTTTGCAAAACTCCCAAGGTCATGAGGTCAAAATTACTGGCACCCAGAGAGGTCTTGTCACAAAGATCTGATTGTCATAGCTTCAACCAATCAAAATTTTGAGACCCATTGGCCACAATGCTCACCTGATTAACTATGACCACTCTGGGTTTTTTTCCTACATATATGTTCAACTTTGAGCACATGTTATGGTCTCACTCTACACTTTTGAAGATTTTCCCAATGCAATCCAAGTAAAACTGATCCCCTGTTGTGTACCCCTAGACGCCATGATTTGAACAGTACTTGAGGATATTCCTGAATAGAAATGACTATTCATGGCTTTGCTGTTCTTGAGAAGATTTTTATTAAAGTTTTTTTCCCTATGTCAAACTTTGATCACCAATTGTGGCCCCTCCTGTAGCTCATGAGGTCATGTCTTGAACATACTTGAATTTACACTACAGTTTACAGAAAAAAAAACTACTGCTCTGGTAAATGAATAAGCAAAGCAATATATTTATTTTACAATTATATTTGGCTCATATAAAAAATCCACAAGCAAAAAACACAAACAAGAAGAAAAAGAGATCTTCAGTCAAGGCTTTGACATATCCCATGATTCTGCTGTAGGTATGGATCAGATGAGGTGAAATACCACACAACATTAAGGCAGTGGACATGATGTTTTGTTTTTGGTATATATGCACATCCTAGAAAAGAAATAAACATCTAAAATCTCAAAGAAAAAATAGTATATTTCCTTGTTATTACTCAAATGGTTGAATATTGCCTCCCTGATAATTTATATTTGCACAAATGTTTATAAATCATCTTTTTTCTCTAAAACCTGGGGGGGGGGGGGGGAGGGGGGGTAAGCTACGGGGTGTAAATAAATGTTTTGTGACATAAAAATATTGAAAACATTCATGTCCTTTTAGATCCTTACCTTAAGAAAATTGTTTTTGAACAGATGCAAGCCTGTTTGAAATGCCGTAAATGGTAAAAATATTGTCTGAAAAAGAACAAAATATACTGATTTTAGTTCATAGAAACTGTCTGCTTAGAATTGAAAAGTCTAAGTTTAAAATACTGCATACAGAGTTATTTTTGCCACGTGTTATTTTCGCCGTTTCACCCTTGCAAACAATTTTGCCCCGTTTTAAATTTGCCCAGTCATAGAAACTTTATTGTTAGAATTCCCCTCATTCTGAATTCGCCAAAATGAGGATAGGGCGAAAATAAAACGGGATCATGATGAAAATTTCCCTGTATACAGTATTTGTAATCCAGAATTCTCTGATAAGACTACAACTGTCCACACACAGTACTAGTGCATCTTTGGCAGTAGGTCTTCTACGTTTAATTCATCTTCTGAAATACTGAAAATGTCTGCAGGGGCCTCATAAATAGCATTAAAAAAAATCTGGATAATTCCAACCAAAATGTGTAGCATTTAAAGAACATTTTGATAATATGATAAATATATATTTATAAAAAATAAAAAATACAAAATGTATCAGTCCATAATCAAATGAATAGAATAGCCCTTAAACATTATTTGAATGTGAAAAGTTTGAATTGTAAATTTTGTTCTTCACATTGTAATGGTTGCATATACTTAGATCATGACAATACGACCAGCCTATAGACAACTTGTGAATAATATAAATCTGAACTTATCTAAACACTCAGCTATGATATCTTTTCAAGAAACAAGAGATGTTTGTAAAACACTTATGCCCCCCTCCCCCCAAATTGGATTTTTCCTAAGTCCAAAAGTGCATAACTCTGTCTAAAATGGTGCAATCGTATCCAAAACAAAACTTGACTTAGATATTCAGCTGAAAAATCTGTATACTAAATTTTATTTCATTATGTGCAACCTCTTGAACGGAAACTGCAAATAATTGGAATTTTTCTAAGTCAAAGGGGCATAACTCTGACAAAAAGGTTGTGATCGAACCCAAAACAGAACTTGTCCTAGATATTCTGCTGAAACATCCGTATACTAAATTTCACAACCTCTGCAAAGAAAATGAATGGAAACGGCAAATAAGTGGAATTTTTATAAGTCCAAATCAAAAAAGGTGCGATTAGAACTCGACCTAGATATTCAGCTGAAACATCTGTATACTAAATTTCATTTCAATATGTGCAACCTCTGCAAAGAAAATGTCAAAAATGGTGTGATCGTACCCAAAACAGAACTTGACCTAGATATTTACCTGATAAACCTGTATACCAAATTTCATTTCAGTATATGCAGCGGTAGTAAAGAAAATGAACGGAAACTAAATGGACCGACAGACCGACCGACAGACCGACGGACAGCAGCAAAGCAATATGCCCTCCCTTCTTCGAAGGGGGGCATAATTAAAATGGTACAACATGTATCTATATCACATATTACATCAAATTTCATTTAGAAACCCTTTTCTTTTACTTTAAACTTTTCACATCGACTGAACTCACCTCGAAATAAAATAATCCATATCCAGATTTTAAGACCATTCGACTGACAAATGCTATCAGAATGCAGCCCAGTATGCGATACATTTCAAACAGCTGAGGCTGGGAGTATTTCCAGGAGGGCTGGACGCGGGTGGACTGAGGTAATGGCATCTCACTGGCTTCATGTTGGGTATCTCCTCTTTGTAACTTGACAGTATTAGGACTCTTTCGTTGACGGACTTCACTTTGATTAGGCCTAGATATAGACAGGGGTCTTTCTTGTGAATTTCCTGTCTCTGATTTTTCAACAATATCTCTTGTGTTTTTCATACTTTGATCAATCTGATGGTGTCTGTCTGTACAAGTGAAATATAATCTTATTAAATGATTATACCCTGTATTCATTAGGCTTGCATTCAGAGAGGAGGGTATAAATTACTTTTTTATTGACACTTCTTATTTTTACTTTGATAACAAATGAAATAAATAAAATTTTAATAACATTTTTACAGGAACCATGAAACACCTAACAATTGCGGCATTGTCCCATATTAAAAATTTTTTTCATTTGTTTGTGGATGTTCACTTATAGACTTCACTGCATAGATACAACCTGAAATCATAGCAATTTTCTGCAGAAAAGAGGCATTGAGCATTTACATGTAGCAGGCTCATATAAAAATACCTGAAGTGTCTTTCTCATCTGTCATTTGCTTGCCTCTGCATAATAAACAGGCCTTTCTGCTTCCAAAATTGATGTTACCACACCTAAAATAAATATCACAATTTTGATGAGCTTGGTATAATTTTTTGGCAGAAACAGGGCCATTGCCAGGTTTCTAAAAAAGTGTGTGTTTAAAGGGTCTTGGAGGAGTTCCTATCCCTCCTGAGAGCCAACATCTTTTGTTATAAATGTGTAAAATTATGGTTGGATCTGAGTTATCGATGTCATCAAAGATGTGGTATGGGAATTTAGACATTTATTGTCAAAATACATGTATTAAATTCATACTGTGAATACAGATGCTAGTGGTATTAAAATTGTTGTTGACTGCTGTTCCTTGGCAGTAGTGTTTTGTTCACAGACTCGTTTTGTTTGTAGGTTTAATGAGATTGATCAGTGTCCGATATCTTCACCTTTTCCCATTAAATAAACACAACATTACTTTTTTAAAAAGTGTACATGTATTTTATTGCAGAATTTTGAGGAAGAATACTCCTTAAAATGTATCATTTTCATCTAAATTTTTCTGTGGAAGAATTTCGTGATTTTAGATCTATGATGGTCTTTGTGTATTGTTAAGGTGTCTCACTCAAGAAATAATTTAATATCAATGCTTTTTTAAAAAGTGTACATGTATTTTATTGCAGAATTTTGAGGAAGAATACTCCTTAAAATGTATCATTTTCATCTAAATTTTTCTGTGGAAGAATTTCGTGATTTTAGATTTATGATGGTCTTTGTGTATTGTTAAGGTGTCTCACTCAAGAAATAATTTAATATCAATGCTTCAATTCTATGTATTTTAAGAAAACGGTGGGACAAGCATATTTTTTGGTTAAGGACAAGTAGTTTTACGATGGTAACCTGTCCGAGGGCAAGTACTGAAAAATTCTATTTGTCTACCCCATGAGTTATGAGCTGAAACACAAGAAAGCTAACAAGCAAATGGGCACAATAGTTTTACAATAATATGTCATAATATTCAGGGATCTCAAGAAGATGTGATTTTGTCAATCTAATTAAAATGAGATGTTATGTACTGTACATGTAATATGATTCCAAATGATTCTTTTAATTCTATGAGGTATTGGTCTGATGATGACTTACTTGTCACACTGCCATTCTCCACTCTCAGCTGATTTGCTGTCCAGGTCTTCTTCATCTTAAAAAAAAAACATAGGCCTATATCATTTTCGGGATAATTATACCCCAAACATGTTTATATGCAGAGTGGTCCGAATCTATAACTGTATAAATTAAATTAATTTGAAATCCAGAGTGAATATTGTCATGTTTCATATTAATATACTCATTTACAAATAAATCATACGTTTTTTGTCTTTGTCCTGGTCTCCTGGTTGTCGACTATAAAGGCGATTTATTCTCTTCTCGGCATTCTCCAATATTTTCTTTTTTCTTGCTTCTGCCCTTGATACATGTACTGAATCCGCCATGTTTCTAATTTGTTTTCGTATTATCTATATTTTTGCTGCACGCATTGAATACAAGACAAACTTATCCTACTTTCCATTAAATGCATCAAGCTTTATTTATGATGTTTAAAATTAAATCTAATAATCTTACTCAACCAATAAATATTCATACGAAACTTTTTTTGTACTTTTTTAGCGAGTGTTGGTAAAATGGGCACGGAAATGTGAGCCGAGACCTGAGCTTTTTGTTGGTTGAGTACGTGGTATCCTGGCTTAGGTTTTCAAACACTTTTTACCAACATGTTGAGATGTTTTAAAATGGTCTCTAAAATTAACAGGACTTTTATGCCCCCATAATTGAAGATTCGGGGGTATATAGTTTTTTGTCGAATCCGTCCGTCTGTCTAGCTGGTTGTCCTCAAAAACTTTAACCTTGCCCATAACTTTGATTTAGTGGAGCTATGACTCTCATATTTCACATGTGTACATGTATTCCTGGTGACAAGACCTTTCTTTAGTGACCTTCAAATTTTTCCTTTTGACCTTGAGCTTGGAGTTTGACATACTTTTCCACAAAAAATTCGAACTTTTACTTTGGCCATAACTTTTGAAAGGTAGATACTACGTATGACTTGAAATCATATTTCATATATGTACTCTTTGTGGCAAGACCATTCATTGCATATCAGCAACTTTGACCTTTTGACCTTGACCTAGGATATTTCTATACTAATGAAATAACTTTAACCTCGGCCATAACTTTTCAATGGTAAGGGCTACGGCTTTCATACTTCAAATATATAATTTTTGTGAGAAGACTTTTCATTGGATACCAAGAACTTTGACCTTTTTCCTTGTTCTTGGAGTTTGACCTACTTTTTAAAAAACAAATCTTGACACTAACTTTTGAAGGGCTAGGACTTTTGTATACATGTACGTCACATATTTAATCCTTTTGACAAGACCTTTCATTGGATATCAAGAACTTTGACCCTTTGACCTTGATGTTTGACCTACTTTTTAAAAACTTTAACCTTGGCCATAACTTTTGAACGGTTAGGGTTAGGGTTTTCATACTTCACATATGAGTATGTAATACTTGTGACAAGACCTTTCTTTTAAAAGAAACCAACAACTTTGATCCTTTGACAGGTGACCTACCTTTCAAAAACTTATGACTTTTGAACAGGTGGTGCAAGGACTTTAATATTTCACAGATATATTTCTTGTGAGAAGACCCTACTTTGGGTACTAATATATTTATAATTTGAATTTATGAAAAGTTTAATCTTTGATGATGTTGCTAAACGGGGGCATCAGTGTTTCACAAACACATCTTGTTTTTATTAAGTCATAGGCAGGGAAGGTTTTTGAGTTGTTAATCTTAATATATACTAATATTTTCAAGACTTCTTGAAGTAAACTATTAATCAATGAGAAACAATTGTTGTATGACCTGTTGTATAACACAGAGCCACTGAATAACAGATGGAGGGATGGAAAGATGGATAGTGAGACCCAAATTATTGTCTAGCTGCAGCGAAGATATGGGACAAAAATGTGTATCAATTTACCAGGGATATATTTTGTCTTGATCACCTACATATAATAATACAAATGATTCTGCACACAATTACTTCCTTGAATATGATCTTGAGAGGATTTTTCATTGAAAATGTTTTTTATTTTAATTTATGGAGATTAGGTTTTCTAACAGTCTGTTAAAATCAAATTGGCATTGAAGTTTCATTTGTATGCCTGCAGTGTCTGGTGGTTCCAAGCTTGACATAACGAACATAAAAAGACAAGAGTTCCATGGGCCACTACACTCACCTGGGTCAATACAGCCCTGCTGCTATTCATAAGCAGATATTTTTTTTTGTTGACTATAATTATGTAAAACTAATCATGTAAAACTTTTATCCCTATTGTGAGTACACTCTACCCTAATGTGTCATGGTTTTTATAGAGGTATAGTTCCAGCCTACCCCTCAGGGTCATGATTTGAATGAACTTGAATTTACACTACATGTACCATTAATAAACATGTGAGCAAAATTATTTTAGAGAATTTTTCCCTGTACATCCATATGTTTAACTCTGGCAATGCATTATTGCCCCACCCTAACCCTGCGGTCATAATTTGAACAAACTTGAATCTTCATAATCTGATGATGTTTCCATACATATAAAAATATGACTAAACATGACTTTGCTGTTCTTGTTCAAGAGGTTTTCCTATATATGTTTCAGTTTTTTCTCCATGTAGTTCTTGAGAGGATTTTTATAAGATTAAATACCACAAAAATTTAACTAATTTTTAATTAGGTTGAAAGAGGATGTAACCCTTCATTTAAACAAACTTGAATTCTTTTGTGGCAAGTTTTGTTGAAAATGGCCTTGGTGTTCTGGAGAAGAATTTGAAAATGTGAAAAGTCTACATAGAAATGGACAGACTTACAAAATGTGATCAGGAAAGCTCAATTAAATTTTCAGAACAGGTGAGCTAAAACACTGATGCCAGAACTAAAAAAAATGGGTTTGATCTAAAAACACAAATATGGAGTCACAGTATAGAGTTATAGAGGCCCATAGAGTTCATTTCCATGGGGTGTAGTAATCTAAACCACATTTAAAATACATATTGTTCCATAAAAAAATACTATACCTTTATCAATGAAACAAAATTAAGATCAGTCATTTTATTGGTGTTCAAAATAAATAAATAAACATAAGTTATACATAATTTATACAAAAAGTGTGGCAGTCACACAACAAGATATGATTATGCACAAAGTGAAAAATTATATTCTACAGTCAACATCTTTCATTCATTTCTTTCATTTTCTGTTACTTTTGAAGTGAGGTAGTCTTTCACATGCATCTTTTGACAACAAATTGCAAACGTTAACATGTATGGATGTAATGATATGTTTATCGTTTCCTTTTAAACCCACGTTTATAATCACTTTTCCCAGGCTTTGATGGTTTGTCCACAGGTTCCTTTGGTTTAGAGTGGAGGAAATTATGGAGCTGTGTAGCATAATATTCACTACCCATGACCTCTGTAAGCTGTTCTTGGGAGCAGTCACACAAAGAAGACAGGCTCTCCACTTTATTCATGATGAGACGATAATTTTTTATATTCACTCCTGGCATCTTCAGCAAAAAATCCTTAACAGAAAAATTCAAGGATAAAGTAAATCTACAAACATTTAGTTTTCTTCCAGTCAGGATGTCAGTTTAAACATTTTTTGTACCTGTGGTCCATGGCTGTATTTATCTGACCATTGTAAGCCCTCATCAGAGGATCCCACAGCTAAGGCAGTCTCTGCATCTGGCTGAGGCTTTCCTACCTATAATCACAATACAGGATCATTACATCAAATTACAGGTCACTACTGAAAATAATCAAGGATCCATAATACAATGAAACAAGAGGCCAATGGGCCACATCGCTCACCTGAGCACTGTGGCTAGGAAAAGTAGAAATTGGTTTATTATTGAAAAGTTTAAATCCCAAAGTAGTCCCATGACCAATCATGCCTTTGCTATTCTTGAGAAGATGATTTTTTAAAGAATTTTCCTATATATGTCTATGTAAAGCTTTGATCGGCCATTGTAGCCACGCCCTACCCCCCGGGAGTCATGATTTGAACAAACTTGAATCTACACTACCTGAGGATGTTTCCCCATAAGTTTCATCTTTCTTGGCACAGTGGTTCTTGAAAAGAAGATTTTTAAAACATGCCACCAAATTTTCATTAATTCCAAATTATCTCCCCTTGAATGAGGGCGTGGCCCATCATTTAAACACACTTGAATCCCCTTCACCCAAGGATACTTTGTGGCAAGTTTTGTTGAAACTGGCCCAGTGGTTCTTGAGAAGAAGTCGAAAATGTGAAAAGTTTACAGACAGACAGCTAGACAGACGGACGCCGGACAAAATGTGCTCAGAAAAGCTCACTAGCTAATTACAGACCATTTCCCATATGAGACAAGAATTCATGAAACATGCTGTACAAACAAGAGATGTTTGTAAAACACTTATGCCTCCTCCTCCCCAAAATAATTGGAATTTTTCTAAATGGAAGGGACTGAACTCTGTCAAAAATGGCTTGATTGCACTAAAAACAGAACTTGACCTAGATATTCTTATGACAAATCTGTATACCACATTTCATTTCAATATATACAACCTCTGTGAAGAAAATGAACAGAAACTAATGGTGGACCAAAAGACAGACCGACCGACAGACAGCAGCAAAGCAATATGCCCTGCCTTCTTCGAAAGGGGGCATAAAAATAACAGATCATGCCAATAACAGACAATCTCATATTTAAGGTATACTGAAACTTTTTGCCTATTACTATGAAAATAAATAGTTACAAAAGTACTTGTTAATCAGTTGGAACAACAAAGAGACTTGCATTTGCTTGTATAATGCTTTGTTGAGTAACCTTTACCTTTAATTCCTCAAACAACTCGGCAGTAGCGTAGGGCGTCTGACACCAGAGAATGCGTAGTTTGGGGAAGTGGAGGGTCAGTAGAGCCAGGCGGGAGCTTACATCCTGTATGGACACCTCACTGGATTGCTTCACCTGGTCAATACAGTCTACTCTAATTTTACTTACAACATTTCAGCAAACATCTCTCTTTGGGCATTTATTTTTTATATAATAATAAAGTTGTTAGGAATCTATACTCCCACCTCCCCAGCCCCAAACCAGATGACCCTGAAAATCAAACTTCATATCAAAATTATTCTTTCTGCATATTCAACCAATATACCAAATATGAAAAGACAATCATAAAAAAAAGTTATGAAAAAAACCCCAGAAAATTTGCAGAGGCAAAATGAAAGATGGGCAGACAGACAGACAGACAGTGTTCATTGTAAAGCACAAATGTTTTTTGGGTCTTAATAAGCTTCACCTGTAAAGAGAAGGATTTATTGGCATCAAACTCAATCAAAAGCACTGGTTTCTGGTAGTATCTACACATGGAAACACACTGGTTATACAGGCGGCCATTGTTCAGGGAACCAATCAGATCACTGACGCTTTTCCTCTCAACACAAATATCAGGTGTCAATATGTAGTCTCCAACCTTCAGCATACATTGAACATTTCAGTGAATGTGTTAACAAAATTTATTTAAGCATTGAATTCATATTTTGGGATATGTCTTCGGTCCTATAACACACCTGGCCATGCCGACAAATTGAATACCGCGCGTTAGCACAGTATGATAATTTGTCGGCACAGCCAGGTGTTTTATAGGACCAAAGACATCCCAAAATATGAATTCAAAGGTTATATTTACATTTCCTAATTTTTCCTCTTAATAATTGTTTATTTCAGTAATCTTTAATGTGAACTTAGCACCCTTCAAAACTTGTGTGCTTTATAAACGTAAGAACCATTTGTGACGTTGCTAAGTTAAATAACGCAAACAAACATTGCGAGGAAAAAATTAATGACAAATTAATTTCAAACGCACATTTGTTGTATGTTTAAGTTAATTTTACAGGGTTAATTTTTTTTATTAAATTGTGTCAAAACAATGTACATATTTTGGTGTTCCTAGAGTACTGAAAATGCATATAGTTCCTACTGTGTATTCTAACATGCGGTGACAAGGTTTCAAGTGTGTTATAGAGATTTGAATGTTGTGGATTTCTAATGGATTTTATAAAGAAAATTACACTGAATGTAAGTATATATGTATGTTGTAATCTAATAAATATGAAAAATAAATAGCATAAACATTTTAGACATTTAACAGAAACTACAATAATCCTTTAGTTCAAAATAATTAAATTCATATAAAAGCATGTTATATCATTTAAATGGCTACCCTACCTCTAAAGTCACTGGTTCTATGTCAATACCTCGTCTGTGAATCAAGGAGGGTAACTCACTTCCAAACTCTCGCATGTCCACAACCACCTGATTAAAGCATTTTGAGAAGTTGTGTAGAGTTGCCAAAAAAATACAAGCAAAATTAAAAATAAAAATTCAATATTGCAAAAAAAAAAAAAAAATCATTAAAATTGAAAAAATTGTCTTCCTATTAAAAATTAAGTGCATTTGACAAGTTGATACCTTCTCCTGTGTAGAGACCTGAGGTGCCCCTCCTTTTCTGGTGTTGACTGTAGCATTAGCAGGGGTTGTGTCCCTTGACAAGTTTGGATCATCTTCCAGTTTTCCTTCTCTTTCCTCTGGAATCACCATGTTCTGAAAACATTTTGAAACTTCACCATTACTGTGCATTTAAGAGTCAAAACTTTTAATTCAGTGCACATTGGAAACAAATTGGGTCAATATTTAATGTAGACATTGACTGACAGCCTTCTCTTGGATGAGGAACTCGAATGCCTCTTTCTCCATCCTGAGTGTGGTCAGGTATCGCTGCTCCTCCACCGAGCCCGTATACATCATGAAGTACACCCTCAGCGGAACCCCGGGACGACTGGCTCGGAAGACCTGTCAGAAGAGCAGTCAGTGACTCAAAGAATTAAAATGTTCAATCCTTATAAATAGTTTATGCTTTTTTGTTTTAAATAAATAATCAGATAAAGTGAGTGATGAAAAACAACTTTATTTTGATTGAGAAATGTGCATAATATGCTAAAATAAGGGGATCTACTCTTGAATTACCATGAGAATTTTTCCTAACAAAATACTTGAATAAACTCATCAATATCTAGCTTTCAATGTGGACCTCTATATGATTCTTGTGCATTCTTGAACATATAAGACATGATTTTAATGTTCTATCTCAAATTTAAAGGCATTTTTACTCTAATATGACTGATGTTTCTTTTCCAACTTGAACTTATTTGAACTTATTTAAAAAAAATAAGTTTATACAGTTGTGTGCCAAAAGTGAAGATAATTTTATTTTTTCTTTATATATTTCATTGAAAACAATATTTTGTATAATCGCTGGTATGACAACATTTCTTGACAGATTTTATCAAAAATTTCTTGGTAATCCAAGAAATTGTTGTTGTTAAAAAAAAAAACAATAGTTTTTAGCTGATAAGCCTTGATAGTTTAAAAATATTGTAATTTAAGTGTGACATGAATTTTTAAGTCATATACTCACAATGAATTATATAGTCAACATTGATCTTGAATTTTAGAACTGATGTTTAGTGATGAACTATATTTTACTACATATTAAACGTGTAGGGCAAACTGACCATGGTTCGGACGGTTCTCGTTTTGCTTACAAGCAATAAGCTGTTGTTCCGAGTGACAGTGGTCTAGACTTGTACTATCAACTGGAAAGTGTTTTGGAACCCGGGTTTTATCAATTGTCAATATATCACCAAAACACTGAATACCTCTGTTCCAACTAGAAGTTAAATTCATCAAGCGATTTTTACCATGGTTCGGACATGATAATATACAGTAAACAAATGTTGTTGAAATGCTGGATTTCATTTACGGAAAATCTGCATAGCTTTTCAGACATTTTTTTATTTCATTTCTGACAATTTGTCTTTTCATTTCCAATATTTATTTCTTTTCACAAAGGCAATTTTGAAATGTTAATAATTTTCATAACTAAAAATGGTTTTCAGACAAAGCATTTTAAGCAGGAGTTAATGTTTCTGATACATTCTAATTTAAAAGCTACGTTTTATCTAATCATTGTTAATTTAAAGACCCTGATGACCAAACCCTTCAACACAGTATGTTCATTTCTTCTAGAACTACATGAATCCAAGAGATTGTGTTTATCTCTGTAAGATTTTTACATATCTTTCCCATTCTTAATAAAAAACCTCTGTTTTTTTTTATTAAACTATCTCTCTCCCACTAAGTTTACCTCTGTACAGTGGCGTAGCATCGTTTTTGAAATGAAAACACACTGAAAAATTAATATTAAAAAATCCATTTCTATTGCAGCAATGCTTGATCACCCCTCCCAGTTTTCTTCGACTGTAACCTCAAATATGTCGAAAGTTTCCTCCAAAAAACGAGACTGAATTTGTGGAATTACCAAAAAATTAATTGTAAGTAATGATTATTGATTTCGCTAGTTCTTGCTCTCTCAATGTATATTTGGAAGGCCATGTTTCACTTGAAATCACCATTTGTGTTTACCTCTGTATTGCCAGCAAAGCAAATAAAGTTTGGCCCTCCACAGTGTTTCCTTGTGTTTGCAAGTTCGTGTTAGCTTCAATCCGTCTTCAATGGAAAGCTTGTATTGCCCTCTTGCTAATTGCCCCTACCACAATGTTTACCTTTGTTTGTGTCTATACTATGTCCCATAACAAGGTACCGTGTGTTGCAGTGTTTACCCCCCCCTCCGATTATACACACGAGGTCCAAGGATTTTGTTTAATCTCTGACACACCCTTAAGAGCTCCCATTATTGTAGGATAACCTTATATTGCCCTTTTCTTTTTTTGCTCTTCCCACAGTGTTTACCTCTGTATTGCCCTCTTTACTTGCCCCTCCCACAGTGTTTACCTCTGTTTTGCCCTCTTTACTTGCCCCTCCCACAGTATTTACCTCTGTATTGCCCTCTTTACTTGCCCCTCCCACCATCTGGGTGAGGGTCTGCTCAGCTGCCTTTGTCTTCTGCCCCTTGTTTGTTCTGATCTTGGCCATTTTTTCTTGTCTGATTCTTTTCTGTAAAACATAAAACACATGACAGATGATGACTTGATAACAAAGTGCTGAATTTGTTCAAAGATATATTTTGCAATCATATGTACAAAATGTTCTTTAACTTACCGTATAACGGGTAATTTTTACTGCTGTAAATTTTTACAAATTTCGGTTGAAATAGGATGATATAATTTTTTATGCGTTAAATTTTTATCACTTAGAAACGCAAAAAAATAAATCATACAGGTTTAATAAAGTTCCATTCACTTGTTTTAGTTTTTGAATGCGTTTACTGCTACAAATACAAGTTTTAACATGTGTCGTGGACAACCCCATGTAAAAATAAACGTGATAAACAGAGATTAAAAAGCTCACCTCAACGAATGATATATTTCCGTATTGTGCAAAGTCACACAATTTAACCAAAAAAATAACGGGAAATTCCAAAAATGAAAATATTTTTAAAAGCAATTTTGATCTGATACTTTGAAATAGACCTACATAAAAAATTTAACTGGTTCTTCTTGAAATGAATAATTAAATTGACAAAAATCCACCATCTTACCAAATTTACAAAATGTTGTTTTCTGATGCAAATATATGTGAAAAAGTTTGGTTTATACAATGTTATATAAGCCTTATAGTTTTTTAACAGCCTGTAAAACAAACTTTTCTTTCAATTATTATTTAAAAAATGTATGTCCAATTCAGCATCAAAAATGCAAGTCCATTAGTGTGCATCCTTAGATGTATCATCCATGCAAGTTTGCTCATTATAGGCTGCTCATAGTTTATTGGAAATGAAACATGCATCAAAACTAACATTTTCACTCATCCACAAAAAGTAGGTCAGATTCAGCATCTGAAAGCAAGCCTGGAAGTATGCATGTTAGATGTATCATCTATGCAAGATTGGTCATTAAAAACTCATAGCTTTTCCATTTTTTGGAAATGAAACAATATTTATTTCTGCACCAAAAACTTTTAACTAATTTTCAACCGGAAAATGTTTTCAGACAGCATTTTAAGCAAGCCTGGTAGTGTGCATCCTTGATGTATCATCCATGCAAGTTTGGTCAACATGTTAAAGTTACTTGCAAATGAAACCTGCACCAATAAACATTAACCTGTTCGCTCAACTGGAAAATGTAGGTCAGATTCAGCATCCGAAGCAAGCCCGGTAGTATGCATCCTTAGATGTATCATCCATGCAAGTTTGGTCAACATAGGGCTTATAGTTTCTTTGAAATGAAACCTGCACCAAAATTTTAACCTGTTCACTCAACCGGAAAATGTAGGTCAGATTCAGCATTGCCCCCCCGAAGCAAGCCCGTGTTTACCTCTGTATTGCATCCTTAGATGTATCATCCATGCAAGTTTGGTCAACATAGGGCTTATAGTTACTTGGAAATGAAACCTGCACCAAAAACTTTAACCTGTTCACTCAACCGGAAAATGTAGGTCAGACTTTCAGCATTAAGCTAAGCCCGGTAGTATGCATCCTTAGATGTATCATCCATGCAAGTTTGGTCAACATAGGGCTTATAGTTACTTGGAAATGAAACCTACACCAAAAACTTTAACCTGTTCACTCAACCGTAAAATGTAGGTCAGATTCAGCATCTGAAGCAAGCACGGTAGTATGCATCCTTAGATGTATCATCCATGCAAGTTTGGTCAACATAGGGCTTATAGTTACTTGGAAATGAAACCCAAAAACTGCACCAAAAATGTTAACCTGCTCCAAAAATATTAACCTGGTAACTCCTTTGCTGAAATTGCAGCATCTGAAACTCTGTCTGGTACAATAAAACACACTAAAACCATCTTCCATGCATGTCTAATCAGTATAGGACACAGAAGTAATTAAAAAGAAAACTGCTCCAAAAAACTTAACCTTAACCTCGGACGGTGAAGTTCCGACATGTTTTAGCCGAGGGTATCAATACAAGTCCCCCCAACTTCGTTGAGGTGAGCTAAAAATGAAATTGTTCCAGTGATAACGAGTGTCGATTCATTAAATGATATGTTTATTCATCTAAATACCTTTATATATCACATTCCTGTTTTCAATTGATACACATGCCTAGGCATCATTATTGTTGCACACCACGTGCCCGTCTTCATTTTAATGGAAACAAAGAGAGAAAACTCAAAAAAAAAAGAAAGGGTCAAAGTGTTGAAAAACGGATATAATTTGAAGACTTCAGTCTGTTATAATTAAGCCATTATCAGAAATAATGCGTCCCTTAAGAGGTAGCAGGTAATTGACGATGTTTGTATAACTCATGTATTAATTAAGATATACTTGTTTGATCCTAATTGATAATCAATTAAAAAGTTCCAAAAAGTACCAACGGTTGTCAGTTCTAGTTCTATAGCCCCCAGGTACTTAGCTGAATGGTAGTGATAGCACCGAAATACTCTCATGATACGATTATCATGTTGAAAATTTAGGTGAGGCGTTTTTACTTCTGTGAAATTGTATGCGTTTAAATCTTACGGATTTGTAAAACTAGTAAAAATTAGTAAAAATTAGCAGCACGTAAAAATTACCCGTAATACGGTATATAAAATAATGTTGTTTATATTACATCAACTCACAGCTTCATCCTCAAGATTTTGTCCTTTCTGAGCCAGGTATTTGTTAAACAGCCTGATCATCATACTCCTGGCCCCATCACACAGCATCTGGAAGTACATGTACCACCACAATTTAGTCCCTTAATCCTTAAAGTTCATTAGCAAGAACTCAACATATCAGATGCTGGCTAAAAAGACTCTACTGAAAGCTTAAAAGTACTGCTAGACAATTATTATTATGTTCTTATGGGGGGATGGATGGTGCTACTTTTTTGGTAAAAAAATAATAATAAAGCATAACTTTAATATATACATTGCGTTTCTTTAACTTAGAAATCAAATCTCAAAAAAATCTTCTCTTTTCTCTTAACTATGCAAACTGTGTACATCAAAAATAACACTACATGATTTTACAGTATCTCAACATGTACCTCTTTAAGTTGGTTACATGTCCTATCATCCTCAGCTGCTATAAGTACAGCACCGGGTTCTTCTCCTGGACCCAGATTTTTGTTTTCTTTCCTGATTTCTTTTAAGACATCTCTCAGTGCCTCCCACTTAGGGCATTCCTCTAACAAGGGCTCTGTTAATGAGAACTTATCTATGCAACTTAGGATGTTCCTCTAATGAAGCTTTGGTTAATGAGAAGTTATCTATCTCACTTTGGACATTTCTCTAACAAGGGTTCTGGTAATAAGAAGTTATCTATCTTACTATGGACATTTCTCTAACAAGGGTTTTGTTAATTAGAAGTCAGGGGTGAGGAAGATCGTTTCCTTTGCATGTGTTAATCTTGACAGTGGAGAATTCATGCTAAAAGTGTTTATTCATAGAAATCTAAATTTAAGTCTCACTAGAATAGGAGGCAAGACTTTGCAGAAGTCAAATAAAACATCTACACTTTAACTGCATCGTACTGCCACCATTTCATTACAAATGGAGAAGACACAGCTATAAGTTTTTTTAAAAAAAAATGTTACCCCAGTATGAAAAATTCTGAATTTTCGATCTTCAACATTGTTATCAGCTACCTTTGTCTTCCTTTTTCTCTTTCTCATTGATCTGTGTTTTTTCCTGACCATATACTCTTTCCTTGGCATGCTAAAATTAAAAAAAAAACCCACACAAACTAGAAACATCCTAATGGCCCCATCCCCATCTCCCTGAAAAATGCAATAAAAAAGTATATCTGATGATTTTAAAAGAAAGAAGGTTAGCTTATCCCCCATACTAAGTATCATCTCATATGGCTCTGAACATCTGCAAGTGTAATAAGTTTAAAAGAGAAGAGCCCAAGGGCCACTACACTCATCTGTTACTCACTTTTGCTTTACACTACCTCAAGTTGTTTTCAAATAAGATTCAGCTTTTCAGCTCAAGTGATTCTTGAGTAGATTTTTAAAGATTTTCCCATTTTTTTCAAAGTAAAACTTGGATTCCTATAGTGACTTTGCCCTACCTGGAGGGGAGTTGTCATGATTTGAACAATTTAGAATCTACACTAACCCAGTAAACTTCTACATACTGTAAATGTATTATATTTAGCATGTACGATATTTAATGGAAATTGATTTTTGAACAAGTTAGCCTAGATTTGATTTAGTGCATTTCTCAATGCTCATATTTATGTATATATGTGCAAAACATTTAGCATTGTATTTGAATTAGCGGAAGTTCCTTTCCGCCAAAAGCGCTAAAAAGAATACATAGCCAAATGTAATACTTTTACAGTATGTTTCAGCTTTTCTTAGCTTTCAGCTCAGGTGAGCTAATAAGGACACATTCTCTCTCTTTGAGTATCATTTTGATCCTGAGCCTTGCTAATCATTACAAAATACATGTTTATCTACATGATCTATGACCACAAACAATTTTGCTTAGATTTACTGAAATCCTGTAATCTTAACAAAATACACCATTTTTTGTTGATCATTCAGGGTTATAAGCTATACCCTTTGGTTAAAAAACAAACTTAAGTGTCAAGTTGGGATATAATGTCAGGCAAACAGATCTTTCTTTTTGTTTGGGGAGGTGGTTTTAAAATATTTAAGTACATTTGTAATTTAATTTAAATTTGGTATATGAAAAAGTTTCTATAAAATTCTTGTTATAAATGTACATTTGCAAATTTGTGTACCCCAATAAATTCCCAAGCCCTGCAGCGGTGTTAAAATGGTACACTGAAGAAAAAAAATCCCCAAAATAGCTATAAAAATTTCATTTAGAATAGCCCTTGTAAGACAGCAAAATCTGTCAATACAATCATTGTCTCCATAAACATTTTTGCAGCATTAAAACAATTCAAAATATTGAAATATACTACCCCAAAATCCAGGAAACAATTATATCAAGCTGGGTTTAAACCACCCCTACACCAGGTTCAGAATTTACCGTAATTCTGAGCCATACTCAGCCAAGCCTTACCTGTGTGCAATGCGTAAACTTGGATTTAAACCCGGAATCATTGATCGCAGGTTTAAGTCTGAGATAGGCAACCAACCATTAAACATCTCAGGTTACTCAAGATTTTTTTTAAAAAGTGTACCAGTATCATAACATATTATTAGTTATGCAGGTTCAATCAAGGGTGTCTGAAAGCCTCAGGGTGTATGGAATACACCCCAGGGTAAATTTCCCGCACACCTTTGATTGGAATTGGATAACAAACTTATTTCCTATGTTCTCAAATACATTCTTTGTAAACATTAATCTGATCAACTGTGTCTCAACCTATCAATAAGATTTACGACGTACTACAATGCATCGTGACATCATGTTATTCGCTTTTTATCACAGAAATTATGCATTGTGACGTCACATTATTTACCCCCAGCTGAGGTCAGGTGCATGGAAATTTACACCTGACTTTGTAACCAATCAAAGCTCATGTTACAAGCTACATAGGAAATAATATAACTTACAACAAATAAGCTGTCTGCAGCATCCAAAAACAACCAGCCTGTATTCTGACCAAAAGCTTTCTCGCTCATCCTGAAATTTCATTAAAATTCTTATTTTAAGCGCACACATTATTTGACATTTACATGTATAAGCTTTTCTCCTCTAAAATATTTTAATGTTTTCATAAAAGTTAACATTAAACTTACTTGACTGAATTAACCATGCTGAAAAAGGTGATGCAGTCATATTGTGTCATCTGTCTACAAAATCAATGTAATGGGGGATTATCCTGATCTCATACAAAACTAAACAGACAGGGACATATACTCAGCATGGTGATTTACCTGAGAATGAGCCTGAGAGTTTTAATATCAGTCACCAGTTGTCGAGTCTTGGCGCTTAGCTGATGCCAAACTGGATCCAACTGAAAGCGAATTGTTTTTTCAAAAGCTTTCCCAATTGCAGTTTCAACCGTTACCTCTTCTGCATCAATCTATGGAGAGATATTTTCACTTCTACAACATATGGTCATCCTGTTTTTTAAGGATATACAATCAATTCTCCATATCAAATGTATGATAAAATAACTCTCATTCAAATCATACAATTGATGCAATAAATTGATGCAACTTTTGAAATATCTTTCTCCTTATATAAAATCTCATTATGATTTATATTTATATACTGCCATCATGGCTTGGTTTTCATTATAAACATGCCTTTCAAAGTTTCAATTTTCTCAAAATACCAAATACTGATTCAGATTTTTTAATATATGTAGTAACATTTATATTTTACATTTTAAATATGTTGATTTTTCTAATTTCAGTTTACTTTAGCAGCTAGAACATAAGATACATGCTTATGTAATAGCCCTAAATGAGGAAATATTTAAAGAAATGTTTCTTTTCATTTAAGGAATGAATTTAATAGCTACCCATTTTATATGGTATAAACTGGGTTGGGGCAGTTTACGCTTTATAAACCGCGAAGCGTTTTATAAAAAAGCGTAAACTGTTCCAACCCAGTTTATACCGTATAAAATGGGTAGCTATTAAATTCATTGCTTATAATTTAATTTTCATTCATTTGATGTAAGAAAAAAAGATGATTGTTCTAAAAAAATGACTTCAATTTGTACAAAATTTGAATGTAACGTCAGGCGGATTGATACGTTTTTGACGTAAGTCATTGTGACGTAGGCAACCCATTTTATACGATATGAGGTAAATTTTTTATCCAATCAAATACAGCGTTACAACCAGAATTAAATTATATACTCCTACACCTCAATGGTCCTAACTGGGAAAATTAACTAATTACATGTATTGAATACCCTAGCATACTTTGCAAGGCTACTATTAAACTTTCTGTCTTAAAAAAAAACAATGCATTCCTTCATATGAAAAAGAAAACAAATAATTCAAAAATGAATACATGCACTTGAAACCAAACTATAAACTATTAATGACTACAGATCAAGTACAGATAAAAGACAAACTTTGATAAGAACATCTTTTTGGAGCTTCCTGTATAGATTTGTCTTACAGCAGTAGTGCAGCGCTTTAGTTCCTGTATGCAGGCATTAATTAGGTCCAATAGAGCTGTCTGACAGGCCAAGGTAGCTGATGTTAACTGAACCTGGATCTCTACAACATCAACCTGTAAACAAGTCATAAGTCACAATAACTAAACCTGGATCTCTTAAACATCAACCTGTCAACAAGTAATGAGTCAAATTAAGTAAACATGGGTCTCTACAACATCAACCTGTAAACAAGTCATAACTCACTATAACTAAAACTGGATCTCAATGACATCAACCTGTTAACAAGTAATAAGTCACAATAACTACCAGTAAACCTGGATCTCTATACCATCAACCTGTAAACAAGTAATAAGTCACAATAACTAAATCTGGATCTCTTAAACATCAACCTGTAAACAATTATAAGTCACAATAACTAAACCTGGATCTCTACAACATCAACCTGTAAACAAGTAATAAGTCACAATAACTAAATCTGGATCTCGACAACATCAACCTCTAAACTTCGACAACATCGACCTGTAAACAAGTAATAAGTCACAATAACTAAACCTGGATCTCTACAACATCAACCTGTAAACAAGTAATAAGTCACAATAACTAAATCTGGATCTCTTAAACATCAACCTGTAAACAATTATAAGTCACAACTAGATGCGTTCTTGTTGCTGGGGCAACAAGCAGGTCTTCCGACCGACTTCTCTTTTGGAATCTATGCTGTGTCATCCCATGGAATAGATTTCTTAATGTATTTTTTTCGTTTACGTTCCTTTACAGTAGTTTCTCAACACAGATCGTGAATGGTTCAGATATTTCACGAAATATCTCCAAATATAAATTTTAAAAATTAGCTAAGTCTTCCACACATGTTATAAAAGAGTGAAAAGTAATTTGCAACTGAAAAAAGACAAAAACAAAGAAAAAATTTGGGGAACGCCCCGAGCGGGATTCGAACCCCCGACAGTAAGACAAAGTTTGGTTCGGTCCTATCTTTGCAATAAACGCACGCATGAAAAAAATGAAAACATATATAGATATCGTTGAAGACGCTCTATAAACCCTGTAAATTTGAAAGAAAAATATTGAAAAACAAAAAAGTTGAAAAATTAGACTTTTTGAATTCACTTCCGTTTGCGACCGGAAGTAGGAACGACAAAAAATGAAGGACGTTCGGCACACCTACATATGATGCACTTTCATGTCCATGAGTTTTAATGTCATATCTTTAGCCGTTTTTGAGAAAAGTAGTGTACAAAAATCCATTTTAAAAATACAAATTTCCCCAAAAATCGCGAATGGAAGCAAATTTTGAAAAAATGAAAAACACATCTGGAGATATTAACCTGATGCATCTTTCCTGTAAAAATCTTTGAAATCCGTACAGTCACAGCTGAGATATCGCCATAAATATGAAAAAAAGAATAATAATAATAATAATAATAGGAAACCGACGGAAAACAATAAGGTCTTCCGAAGGAAGTCGGAAGACCTTAATAACTAAATCTGGATCTCTTAAACATCAACCTGTAAACAAGTAATAAGTCACAATAACTAAATCTGGATTTCTTCAACATCAATCTGTAAACAAGTTAAAAGTAACAATAACTATTAGAAGTAAAAAGTCAGACAATAACTGAACCTGGATATATGTGACATTAACATTAATTGGTGTCTGCACAATAGATATATTTTTGTGGATAATTTACAAAATTCCTCTACCTTGTGCTGCTCTAGATTTGCTACAACACTGGCATGAAAACGAGGCCACAGGTAGAGATTCCTAACAAACAAGTTCTTCATTGTCCTCTCTACATGAGAATATCCTGTGGTGAAGGCATAGGGGCTGTCAGAGAACGCTTTGATAAAACCAGTCTGAAATGATGGGAATACAAACAAATAGCAAAAAACATATAATAGAAACATCAAAACTATATACTATAAGACCACAACTACATAGTAATGAAATGGATTGCTTAGTGGGGACAACAACTTTACAAAACTTGAGTTTACACTACATTAGTCAGCTGGCGTATTAATATGACTGAGTCCTGGTGGTTTGAAGATTTCTTCCCACATATTCTACATCAAGCTTTGTTCAACTTTTGAGACCCTTTCCCAGCCTCAAGAACATTATACAGTAAAACTTGGTTATAACGAAGTCACTGGGACCTATGAAATGACTTCACTATATCCGTAATTCGTTATATCCGTATAAGGATTTCAATGAATTTGTATAGCTGGGGATCAAAGATAACTTCGCTATATCCGTGAATTCGCAATATCCGTGTTCGCACTAAACGAGTTTTACTGTACCTGTACCTTTACTGTAAAGTATGGGTCATAATGATAATCATTATACCTCTACTGATAATACTCGAATTTGATTGGCTTATAAGATTGCTTTAAAACTCAATAATGACTCCAAAAGGTACTGTTTAAAGCAATTAAGACCTAGGAATCATCGCACATATGGGATATGATGACCTCGGTCATTATAATTAATGATCGCTAAATAATGACCTCTTAATCGAAATTCCTTTTGTAGGGAAGTTAATGCATAAAATAATAATTATTCGAGAGAAAAAAAAAAGTTTTATAAATTGTGCATTGTCTGTTTTACATTACCATACAGAACACAATAAAATTTGATTGTTAAACTGTTTACTCATTTGAAAATATGGTTACAATTATGCAGAAGCTGCTCTTTTAAGAGTTTAAAAATTCTTTGTTAGATTTTGACTCTTTAAAGGAATAGCAACCGTTAATTATAACAATGCATGTTCCTATCAATCAAATATTGTTTTAATCAGTAAATCATGATGCAAAAACTTACACGACTTGCAGGCGTTAATGTAAACAACTTCAATATGGGGTATAGCGAATCTCGATCCCAATCAAAGAAAGAATTTATAACAGTTAGATTTTTATAGTTTTCAATATATCCATATAATAAAACAATTGATTACCCCTTGTGAGTTAAACATGGTGAAATAAGGACGCTCGACCTGGCCCATTCGCTGACCTGCCCTGACCTCAGCCGCTACAGGGCCTCGGTCAGGTCAGGTTACCTCGTGGGCCAGGTCTCAGGTTCTTATTTAAACAATAAAATGCTTTCTTTGTTTGTTATTACTGGAATCAACGGAAGCAGCTGTTGCAGAAAAAATACATAACCCGCGTAAGCGGGTTATGTAAATTTTTTCTGTATTAGCTGCGACCTATTAATTCCAGTAATAACAAAACAAAGAAAGACATTTTATTGTTTATATTTATATCTGTTTAAATAATCATTTAAAGAAGGATTAAAAAGTTTAATCATTGTATTAATGATGCAAACGTCTTTAAACGTTTCATTGATGGAACAGCCACTGATCAAGAAATCTGTACAGGCGACATGCCTAATGTAGTTCATGCAGTGATTAACGAAATGGGTTTTCTTAAGAAATAAAGGAGAAAATATTCAGTGGATGTAAATATTTCACCATGTTGAATTCACAAGGGGTAATTAATTGTATATTTTATGACCATGTTGTTCTTGACAAAAACATGGTTAAAGACTCCCCTGTTTATTACAATATAAAACTGACCCCACACTGTAGATTTCTTTCCCTATACATGTACATGTATTCAAGTGTAAACCATTTTCCCCCTCCTGACAAAGGCGAAGCTTCATTAAATAAAACTTTAAATATCAACTACTTCAGAGATATGTCATATCATATTCTTATTTCCCAGAGCAGACTTATGATACATTGACTAGTGCGCATACCTTATTCTTCTGTCTGTATAACCTCAATATGAATGCCTCTTGACACGATTCTACAATTCTAAATTGAAAACAAAATGTGAAACACTCAAGTCAAAAATTGGCGGCATATATAGGACCATTTTATTTTTCCAGAAGAGTAATATACACTTGTAATACCAAAGACTGGGCACCAACTATTCTGCAGTTATAAAGTTTTTAAAAGTATGTCAAATTCTTTAGTAAAAGTTATGAGGTAAAAAATGGTCTTGTCTCAAGAACTCCAAATGTGAAACATGAAAGTCCTAGCACCTACCATTCAGAATTATAACTTAAGTTAAATTTTTTTCAATTTTAACTCATGACCAGTCACCTCAAAAAATGTTTAAACTCAGTGAAAAATTTGCCACTAAAAATATGTCCTGACACCAACCATTCTAAGGTAAAAGTTTGTTAGTTTTTCAAAAAAGAAGTTAAACTCAATGGTCGGTTATGAGGTCAAAAATATTGATATCAGAAAGAGGTCTTTTCCTAAGATATACATACAAGAAATGTAAAAGCCTTTATATTACAACCCATTAAAGTTATGGACAAGATTAAAGTTTTTGCAAACAGACAAACAAACAGATGGACCAAAAACTATGAGTCACCAAATTTCTGATAATGAAAAAATAAAAAATACACAGTACAACTTGCTAATCCGACTCAAATTACTAAAATGAAATTGAAATTTACATCGAATTAAACAAGATTTTGAAATACGCAACATCCAGATAAGACAAGTTTCACTGTAATTACAAGAAGTAGTACAATACAAAAGACTCTGCCCATTTATATTCCTGGCTTGCTTTTTATCAATTCAATTCTGGGTATTGATTTTTTAAGATCATGCATTTACACCCTTCTGGAAAAATAAAATTTGTCCCATTCTGCTGCATGACCCCAGCTTAATTTAAAATAGGTGCATGCATTTCTTACTCCACATGCAAAAAAATTCATGGGTTCAAATTAGCAAAGACTTTTTCAAGTCTATCCTACAGTGAAATAAAATGCCCTGTACCTGTGAGCCTTGTACACAAGAATGCCAGAAATGTGCTCCACAGGGACTCGTTCTGTTAGGAAATCCACCACTAGAATCCTTGATGTCAGAAATAGAACACCACCCTGGAGGTAAACCTTCTGTCTGCAATAAGAAAGGGTAAGGTAAGACTGATACAGTAAGTAATAAGATCTGATGGGTAGCCTAGTATAAAGTTTGTCTTACACTGAATAAATATTTATAAGACAATACTTCTTTTGCTTTTAAATAATCAAATTAAAAATCTTCACATAAATATGCATTCATAAGTGTATCTTTTTTAAAGCATGTGTGAAAGATTAGTACAGAATCAAGAATCCTTCTGGGACTGTGCTGCCTTCCATACAACTGTAAAATCACTTAATTTCTTGGAGTCAAATTTTCAAGGTTTGAGGAAAAAATGTTGGTTTGTTGTGACTTGATTTCATATTATAGAATGTTTAGTAGTAATTCAAATGAAACTTTAAATTTCTTGGTGGTCATAATTTCATAGGCCTAGAAAACAACAAAAATTTAACCCCATACAGAAATATTGATTTTACTGTAATCTCAAATGTGAGGAACATACATCAAAACAATACATTTCTGCACCAGAACTGTCTTTTAACTCATTCAATATTTCATATCGCATAAATAAAGTGTTCATATTAGGGATGGCAATTTGTAACCGGTTAACCGATTACTCGGTCGGAACGATGGGAATCGGTTAGAAAATTTGTAATCGGTTAGTCGGAAAAAATAAAATTGAACATAAGTTTCTTAAAATTTATTTTTAAAAAAGAAATCACTGTGAATAGGGTTGAAAATTAACATTTTTAAATCTGATTTGGAGATAATTATGAATTATGGCTCTCCAGATGGTTCATTCTACCTATTCCCAATATCAGTTCTCTCAATTACCTCGTGGTCTTAACCCCAAACCCCAAACCTTGTTAATACCACGAGGTAATTGGTCAGTTTGTGTAGCATTAATTATTGTGCAAACACCATCCCATTACCCAGACTGTCCGGTGTTTCTTTAATAATGATAATTAAATGATTGAGAACACTGTGAAATGGTATGCTTGTCATATTAAGTTCTTTATCCAATTATCGCAAATCTTGCTTGAAAGTACACACTTCGGCCGATATTGTGATGCGTTGAGTGACGATACTGATGAATCTGACTGAAATACAATTGAATCTTACTGACGTTCAATTGAGCAATCCAACAAAAATCTGATTGGTGCTTTTTCTAGGCCCGCCCACTTTCTCAAATGTAAAGCCGAAAATATGGAATGTTTCCAAGTAAGATAGAACATCTGTAGAAAACGGGCAAAAAAGTGGTACTTTTTGAACTAAGTATTTCGTAGACCTATACAATATCTTATTAAATTATTGTGAGTGTGGACAATCTGTATAATGATCTTCAAATACGATATGTTCCAGAACTGGCAGCAGTCATGTCATCTTATATCATATGGTAATGGGTTCATTCGCCCGATCTACCTGTTTGCGTGTTATATCAGGTGCACATTTCCGTCGCACAAGAACACAGCCATTTCTCTCGTTTTTTTTCTTCAATACACCAACAAAAAATAAAAAGTACTTAGGTTTGGTAAATGTTGTTACATTAATTATTTTTAACATGAATTATAAGTGATATTTCTTATTTTTAATGAGTAACATTGGCAATAACAGTAAAAATTGCACTGCCCGCAAAAAAAGAACAAAGATCGAGATTTTTCTGGTCGCATTTTTATTGCCATGACAATCAATGAAATGGGAATGTAGTAGCTAGCACACATGCATTTAAAACATATGGTATTTTTGACAGTATTGACAATAAAACAGAAGACTTTTGAATAAATCCGATGTTTTACGTGTTTTACCACCTTGAGCATGAATTCATATTTTTTTCACTGAATAACAAGTTGTTTGCTATCAGCTGGGTAATTACATGATTTCCATTTCCAGTAATACCCGCATTTTAAATTTGCTTGTGTTTGCCAACTCAATGAAATAGCTCACTTGTGACTAAAACATGGAGAAACAAATTTTTTAATGCACTGAAAAGTCGCACAGAAAAAACAACTTAAAGTAGTCTGATCTTCAGGCTTATAAAATTAGCAGTTAAGTAATCAAATATATTCATAAAAGTATCTCTGAATCTACAAAGTTAGGTAAATTTATCCACAGTATGTTTTCAAAGTTAAAGATTAAAGTCAATCATATTATGTAGGGAAAATTGTCAAATCTCAAATATTTTTGCAGAAAAAGCGAATTGGAATATTAACATGCATTTTCTATTTGCAAATTAATCAACAAATATATTTTAGGTTAAAAAACGATAAGTAACTAAGTAACCAGGCATTCAGAGAAACTGTCATGATTTTTATACTTATTTGGTATTTTTTGTCTTCTATTTCCGGCATGTATTCTATAATACATGTACATATATAGTGTCAAAGGCTTTTGTTATCATTGCAAGACACCATAAATCACTTCTGATTTCATATCATGCGAATAAGCATTGGTATCTAAGGCTGGATTCAAGAAAATCTTATTTCTCTAAAACTGTATTTTTTTTTCCTTTTATAAGGCAAAAATGTCAACTTTTATAAGATCTTTTCTAAGACTTCCAAAAACCTTGAATCTTATAAAGATGAATAAAATAAAAATTGTTGCATATAAAAAAATCATTTTGAACTTCATTTTGATGCATTTCAAATTAAATATTAATTTTTGGAGTTATCCTTCCTGGCTGAGGATCAGGTATCCTTAAGTGTAAAATACCGTAAATAGGAAATCGGCAGAAATACATGTAGGATGAAATGAAATAGTGTGCGCCATCGAATGATTTTCATGCACCGTCTGCGTAAGCAATATATCATATGCTAAAAAATAATTTTATAGCTTGTTTGTTTGCTTTTTTTCAGAAAGTCAACATTGCTTTCCGACAATCAAATATGGCTATTCGCTAGGCTGTTGGATGCTTTCAAATTTTATACAAGCAAAGGACACCGCGCGAGAGTGGGCGGGTCCTAATCAACCAATTAAAACGCTTGTTTTATAAAATGAAATCCATGATTCAAATTGTTCAATTGTCAAATCCAACAGTATCATCTCTCAGCGCAACGCTATTTCAGTCTGCGTGTATACTTTGAAGCAAGATTTGCCATACTTTATTAGAAAAACATTGTAAATTAAAAGGGCTACAATTCGGACTAAGTTTTGATTATTATGACAATTTTACCTTGCAAAACATCTGCTCTAAAAATTAACTTAAGGATTTTTTAATTTTTTCCCCTAAATTATTCTGAAACTGAAAAAAAAATGTAGTTTTCTAGAGCTGATACCGAATTAAGACAAATGAAATGCTTTAAACTTCTATCGTCTTTTTAGTCTTTCTGTGTACATATAAAAAAATGTAGAATATGTATATTTTGATATACGATTAACAGGTTAATCGGTCAGAACGTGTTGCGGTCCCTGTTTCATATACCTCCTTCTCTATATCTTTTGATACATTTAAACCTTCAGTTGTTAGTACATGTATCTAAAATCAGATCCATTTCATTGGTGATTAGAAAAAGGAAATTGGAAATTTTCAAAGAAATAATATTTGGAGAAATTTAGATTTGATCATTTTATTATATAAGCAAAATGACTGAAAACCCTTCATGTCCAAGGGTAGAGTGTGAGATACCATCTCAATTAGTGTGGGGCTTTGAGTGCTGGAAATAAATGACATTTATAACATCTAGTGAGATTAATCTTATAAAACCTCTCAAGAAATCAATCTGATAAATTCTGGACTATTGAATACTTAAACTATTAATAGCTTTAAGTTTTTCCACGGGCTGACAAATAGATTTTTAAGGCACTTGTCCAAGGGCAAGTATATTGTCAAAATTCACTTGCCCTTCCTGAATTTTTGCTTGCCCTACCATGCAGCATTTATAAATATTTCAAAAAGGAGGAAGACAAATACTGAGAAGATCATACAAACCCCTTTGCCCCGCTTCAAATCTATGGCTTACATATTGATTTTATTTTTGACAAGTCACTTGCCCACGGGCAAGCAGCTGATAAAATTTCACTTGTCCAACTCTAAAATCCACTAGCCCCGGGCGTCAGGCAATGGGATTTGTCATCCCCTGTTTTCCATGGCCCCACAGACTTTGAGATCAAGACCCGCACCTCAGATCTCCAGATTTCCGCATTATTCCGCATTTTTTCCTCATTTTAAATATGGAAAAATGTGGAAAAAAATACGGAGAGAATTAACAATCAGCTCATAGAATTTAATTATGGTTAACTACAATTAAAGGTGTTCATTTTGGGGAGCCATTGCTCTAGCAATGATTTACCATACATTTTTTTTTTGGTAACGTCTGTGCATAAGGAGGAGATTTCCTTAAAAAGAATAAGTGGTTATTCCTGCGATTTTAACAGGCTTAAAGCTGGTCCATGGATGGTTATGTATGAGGTATATATATTCTTTTTTTTCTTTTTTTATTGCTTGTTTAATTAAAAACAGTCAACTATGATTGTCATTATTATAAATATTATTTTAAACAAATTTATATAAAATTGAAGAACCCAAACTTGTGTTAATAAAAATATTATTAAAGGAGTAAAAGCAATCATAATTTAAATTTTATTAATATTGCACCATTATAATTTAAGTATTTTTTTTAACTGATAGGATTTGCCAATTCAACCGCAAGTACTGCTGCAAGAAATTAAACATGCAGTGACCTTACAAATTACAAAGAAGTCTGATGAAAATATTTATTGGACAGATGGGTGTAAAGCACAGACCTGAGATATAAATTGAATTGTGAGAAATTTGAATCAGGGATGCAGGTAGAAAATGGCAAATGTGATCCAGATTGATAAAAAATGTCTATAAAATTGCTTTTTTGGGGGTAAATATTCAATGCTATGTCATTTGTTATTTTTTCCCCAATATATCTAATAATGTTGAACTTTTCACAACCACTTTTGCTTAAATAGAATGAATAGATTTCCATTTAATTAATATAAATATTAAAAAAAAATGCCACATTCTTATTTTTTTCCATGATGAATTTGTGGCTTAAATAAGAGTTCAAACTTTTACCATACATGCTCCTCAGAGTGTTTGTTTGTCAAAGATATAAGATCCAATACATTGCTCATGAACATAATGTGTAAATTTTTCATTCATTTATATGTTTTTCTCATAATGATATAATAAATTGTATAAAAATTTGCACATTGTTGATGGTTTTGTAAATATTTATGTATGTATGCATCATGTAGTGTTTTTAAGCCATTTTACAACCATGTGATTAGCTCCGTATTTTCTCCAGATTTCTGTATTTCCGCATTTTATCAACCAAGTAAATACTTCCATATTTTGTATATATGGAAATGCGGAAATCTGGAGAGAATACGGAAAAAGAGTCCAAATACTCCCATCCACATTTTCTCCATATTTTGAATACGGAGAAAATCTGGAAATTTTAATCTACGGAAATCTGGAATGAATGCGGAAAATTAGTCCAAATACTCCCGTACGCATTTTCTCCTTATTTTGAATATGGAAAATATATGGAGATCTGAGGTGCGGGGAATTACCTAAACTTACTAGACATCAATTTCATTTTTACATATTTGTCACATTTAGACTACTAAAAATCTAGAACATGTTCCATTCTTGAGTTTACTGCAAATCAGAATTTACCTTTCATTAGCTCCAACTTCATTAGTAATATTTCTTGGTAAAGGTTTTATGCTTTCCTTCTCCAGTTGTTCTGTGAAGTATTCCTACAAAATTTTTATTGTTTCATACATGTACTTGTTCAACTATACCATAACTTCATTCAGATGAAATATAATTCATCTTACCTCCTCTCTGGCATTAGTATTTAAGACAAGGACAAGATTTGCAGGATCACAGTAGACCTTCAGAAAGTTCAGGAATATTCTGTCTATCCCAAGTCCTCTATGATAAAAGTAGATAAACACGCAAAAATTATTGCATATCCAAAAATGATTTAAACCCGAGTATTAACATAGAAGCTATGATAATTATAATACTTACTTTGCCATGACAAGGAGACCGTCTTCATGGAAGCTATCTAGGAAAATCTGATTCTCGTACTCTAATAGTCTCCTCATTTTCAATGACAGTTTTTGACTGACACGTTGTCAAATATTCCCAGCTACTTACAAGGATAAATTTTTTTCCATTGCTACAATCGCATATGGAGAAAAAAATCTTTAAACCTAAATCGTAATAAAATGCGAAAAAATTCATTTTTCAAACATGGGCCATATGGGCGCCGCCATTTTTTGGCAAGTCTAATGACCTGATTAGTCAACCAGAGAACCGCATCTCTTAAAGAAACAAAAGTCAAAAAACTTATGCCTAATGAGCATTTCAAAAAAAATTACGGGCATGATTTAGTTTGAATTTTCTTTTTATGAATTTTGAGTATATCACGTATACATATACATGTAGTTTCAGCAAGATCACGCCATTTTAAACAGAGTTGCCTCTCTTTGTACATAAAAGATAAAAATCTATATATATATATATTACCTAACAACAAAATTTTTTGATAAACGTGATAACTTCAATTAACATTCCCTTCCCTTATATTTAAGTAGAAATTCACTTTTAACACCTCCGTATATGGTGTTTGTAAACGTGTTCCAATTGATTCGATGCGCAAAAACATTCCTTACGTACTACCAATGTCTAAAACGATTGGTGTACATAAGGTGCTTACTCCTCTATGGCACCTGATCCAACCCCATATATTTTTAAGGGCCGAGTCTCTTACACTTCCGATTCGTCAATATTGTTTCAGTGGACCTGACAGGGGATGCTTTCTTATCTAGAGCACCTGATCCCATCTTTAATAATTTTAGATTCGTGTTTGTTCTGCCCCAATTTGTATTGTCTCAATGGAATTGTTCGTTATTACATTTCATCGATCTGAATTGAAGGTACTCTAAATAATAAAAACTAATTTTTGAATCAAGATATTTAACTGCAACAAACACAAACCCATAAAAACCCATTAAATATCGCGAGATGCCAAAAGTAATTGAACTAACGGCAGTAACACTTATAGTCTGGTAATTTGGGAGACAAAAAAAAAAAAAAATGGTCAAAATAGGATTTTCATAATTTACATCATATATGTAGATGAATATTCAGTCTTTTCTCTAATTCAGTGCTTGGGGTTTTGGTTAAAAAATATGTAAACTAAGAAATAGTTTTGTATTGTTGTTCTCAAGTTATTATTTTGACTCGGGGACCAAAAAACTTAGAACATACTTCGTCAATATTTCATATCACTATAATTTTTTAAGAAATTATTTTGAATGGAACAACATTTTTATACCAATTTTAGGGATTTTAGTATTATATACAAACCTTAAATTTTTCATATACTGGTATATGTCTATTATATCAACGTATTCAATTTTTTATGCCCCCGTAAACAAAGTTTCGGGGGTAAATAGTTTTTGTCGTGTCCGTACGTCTGTCTGTCTCTCTGCCTGTCTCTCTGTTTGTCTGTCTGCCTTACCCATAACTTTTGATTTATTGGAGCTATGATTTTCATATTTAACAATTTGTTTTCCTTGTGACGAGACCTTTCTTTGGGTGGCAAAAAATTGACCTTTTGACATTGGAATTTGGCCCACTTTTACGAAAAAATTCCAAACTTACTTTGGCTATATCTTTTGAGTAGTAGATACCAGGACATTTATACTTCACATATGTATTTTTGTGGCAAGACCTTTCATTGGTTACCACCAATCTTGACCTTTTGACTTTGACCTTTAAGATTTACGTACTTATGAAAAAACTTTAACCTTGGCAATAACTTCTTTAATGGTAAGAGCTTGAGCTTTCATATTTCACATATGTAATACTTGTAAGAAGATCCTTCATTGGATACCAAGAACTTTGACCCTTTCAACTTGACCTTGGAGTTTGAGCTACTTTTAAAAAACAAACCATTACCGTATTTTTAAAAAGACAAGAGCTAGTGCTTTCATACTTTATTTATTTAATCCTTGTGACAAGACCTTTCATTGGATATCAAGACCTTTGACCCTTTGACCTTGATCTTTGAGTTTTACCTACTTTTTAAAATTTTTAACCTTGGCCATAACTTTTGAACGGTTAGAACTAGAGCTTCCATACTTCACATATTTATTTTTTGTGTCAAGACCGTTTATCAAATACCTATAACCTTGACCTTTTGACCTTGACCTTGGAGATTTCCGGACTTATGAAAAACTTTAACCTTGGCAATAACTTTTGAACGGTCAGGGCAAGGGCTTCCATACTTCCCATATGTACTCTTTGTGGCAAGACCTTTTATTCGATACCAATAACCCTGGCCTTCTGACCTTGATCTTGAAGATTTCTGTTCTTATGAAAAAAACTTTTACGGCTATAAGCTGGGAACAGATGGCGATAGGGCTTTCAGATTTCATAATTGTATTTCCAGTTAGAAGACCCTATTTTTTGTACCAATATATAAAATTTGCATTTAAGAAAAGTTAAATCTTCACTTTATTGCCATACGAAGGCATCAGTGTTTCACAAACACATCTTGTTTTTTATTGCCAAGGTTAATGCTTTTTCATAAGTCCAGAAATCTCCAAGGTCAAGGTCAAAAGGTCAAGATTAATGGTATACAAAAATGCCCTTGCCACAAAGAATACATATATGTGAAGTATGGAAGCTCTAGCCCTAACCATTCAAAAGTTATGGCCAAGGTTAAACATTTTTAAAAGTAGGTCAAACTCTGAGGTCAAGGTCAAAGGGTCAAAGGTTTTGATATCAAATGAAAGGTCTTGTCACAAGGATTGAATAAGTAAAGTATGAAAGCACTAGCTCTAACCAGATATGGTCAAGGTATGTTTTTTAAAAGTAGGTCAAAGTCAAAGGTCAAGGTCAAAGGGTTAAACTCTTGGTATCCAATGAAGCGTCTTCTTACAAGGATTACTAATGTGAAGTATGAAAGCTCTAGACCTTATCGTTCAAAAGTTATTGTCAAGGTTAAAGTTTTTTCATAAGTAGTAAATCTCCAAGGTCAAGGTCAAAATGAATTGGAAAAACTTTTTTATAAATTTATCTGGAATAACAAAACAGAGAAAATCTCAAGAAAAACAATGCAACTTTCCAAAGAGAATGGTGGGCTTAATATGACAAATATTGACTATTTTATCAAATCTCTAAAATTAACTTGGATCAAAAAATTATTCTTCACAAAATCTGATCGGATTCCACTGTTCACTGAAATAACAAAATGTAATACTGAGTATTGTACACCTGGCCCATTTTGGACCAGAGTATACAAAAGTTAAAGCAAAGAACACACAAAATAGCTGTTGGAAAGAAGTACTGCATATATTTTAAGTTTGGTAACATGCAGTTTGAACCAGGGAGACATTCTGTTGGAACGTCTCTGGTTTAACAATACAATCATGGTTTAAAATAAGTACGTTTTTTCAAAACCATTGTATGAAAAAGGATTTATTGTAGTTGGTGATTTATTTGATAATAATGGTGATTTTTTATGCTTTGGTGATCTTGTCCAAGAATATTCCTTTAAGATCCCTTTTACTTTATACGAAGGTATAAAAATAGCAATTTTGCTTTCTTGGTTTAATATTAGAAATATAGGCATAAAATCTATCATGAGACCTTGTTTGCAAAAATTTGTGGAAATTCTCAACAAAGATAAAAACGGTTCTAAAACAATTTATGATACATACATGTCTCTGTGTATATATACTTCACCAAAGTGTGAATCAAAATGGGCTAATATTAGAACTGCAGTTACATCAGGGGCCCGTTTTACAAAAGGACTTACGACTTAAGACCAAGTTTAATTATTCATATAACTTTTTTTTATTAACATTATATCGAAAATTACTTTAAACTTTTTGAAAAGAATGTGCTTAAGATATTTTTACATTGGCAATTTCAAAGAAAATTATTAATTTTGCAAAATTGTACAATAATCTGAAGTTTTTGGTTTTAGTCGTAAGTTCTTTTGTAAAATGGGCCCCGGGAATTTAATTGGGAACTGATTCATAAAAAACATTATTCGATAACAAAAGACACAAGGCTTTTATGGTTTAATTTTGGAATTATACATAGGATTCTTGATACAAATAAGTACTTATAAGTACTTACTTTTGTCTAAAATTAGAGAAAATGTCAGCAAGATGTTGAATCAATTACACATCCCAGATAGCAGGATGTTATTGGACCTTTGTTGGGCCAACAATGCTCCTTATATTGGGCCACCGTTTGTATTCAACATTGGGCCATCGGTAATTTGCTCATCGGCCCTTAATCAAACCAATGTGTTGGCTTATTGTTGGGCCAATGTAACAGTTAATATTGGGCCACTGTTGGGCCAATGTATTATTTCAATATTGGGCAAACGTCATTTTTGTACAATTGGGCCATTGTAAGCAGTTAATGTTGGGCCAACGGTAATTTGCTCATCGGCCCTTAATCAAACCAACTTGTTGGCTTATTGTTGGGCCAATGTAACAGTTAATATTGGACCACTGTCGGGCCAATGTATTTTTTCAATGTTGGGCAAACGTCATTTTTGTGCATTTGGGCCATTGTAAGCAATTAATGTTGGGCCAACGGTAATTTGCTCATCGGCCCTTAATCAAACCAACTTGTTGGCTTATTGCTGGACCAACGAACGGATATTATTGAGCCATTGTTTGGCCACTTATTTTTTGCAATATTAGGCAAACATCATTTTTAGGCCAACGTTGGTTTGTATCTTATTGGCTCTCCATCATGAAAACTCATTTGCTCTTCACTGGTAGGCCATTTGTCCTCAAAATTGACAAACAAATACATATATTAAGGTTATACTAGTTTTGTAGTACAGTTTAATGGTAAAAGCCCTTTAATACTATCTATATATGCTAGATTAATAGTTAAATACATATTCTCAATATATATCTCATAGCATTAATTTAAAAAAACTGAGGAAAAAGAAATCAAAATATAAAATTAAATTATAACATACTAGTATTTTATTGCGCAGTGCATGAAGAAAACATTAATAAAGAAATAAAAGTTGATGCTCACTTCAAGCGATACATGTAGGGTTACATGAATGTATACTTCCTTTCTGATGTAAATTTATGCACAAGTTCAGTAAATTGCAGGTATCAATAAGCAGGTCCAACAAATAAACAAAGCCCCCTGTTCTTAAAATAATACTAAAATGAATCC